TTGCCTCAGTAGTTCAATTCTAGTCGAAATTAAGGTGGAATTTTGTATTAATTTCTTTTCAATTTCGTGTTCTCGAAATTGCGTTTTTTTCTGGCAAATCTGAGTAAAACACAAGACATGGTTCGTGAATGAGAACGTAGGAAGAAAAGAAAAATAAAAAGAAAAGGCGCTGGTAAGGGCGAAATAAATGTCTCGGTAACGAAATATAAATTTTAATTTCGTCGGAATACAAATTATTAATTCGTGGAAATCTGCGCATCACTTAGATGCCCGTGCATTAATGTTTCTTCAATACAAAGTCTAAGGAAAAAAATTCTGTGCTTTCCCAAAAGTGGTTGTAAATAGATGAAGTCGCTATACAGAAGTGATCTTTCTTGGAGGTTTCACTGTATTAAGAGTTATAATGTCAGGTGTAAGAAATTGAATATTGTGTTATGTAAACATTCCAATGGATGTTTAAAACTTATCACAACTCAGCTCTGACAATAAATATTAGCATAAAAAACAAGACAAGCTGTACCATAGATGGTTGACATTGCAAAGTTAAACGCAGATGGCGATAGGGGGTTAAAATTCGTCGTAAGACTTCCGACTGATTTTCACACCTGAGCTTGAAAAAACGCACCACTCAATACTACTACACTTGTAGAGTTTCCAATATAACACGTTCTTTCGATTTAACTTTCAATGAAACAAACAAGAATTAATTCGGAAGACTCCGCAAGCGTTGTTAAATTTGTTTTAGGCACACAGCATGTTAGAATTTGTAAATTACAGAAAACTCTTATGAATGGAAAATTTATGCAGAAATTTAAACAAAAACCAGACTAATAAAACTTCCTAGAATATTAAGCCTGTTCACACATTGCTTCATAAGCGGAGAGATACACCGGAAGTTTACTAAATTTCTCCCGGTTTTAGGAAGCTTGTTATTGTTTACATCTAGTCAACTACTGTTTGTCTAACATAGGTACTCTGCCAGACATTAGTCTGGAGCTGTGGCGGTGACTATGGTAACGAGGTATGATTATTTTATGTAGGGATGTGGGGTCCCTCTTTAGGACTGGTTTCGGTGAGAGAAAAGGAGACGTCTTCATCGAAGCTACCCTCCCTAAAATGCCCTTTTCTTGTTTCCATAGCACCAGACTGCCGCAGATTTAGTGGCTGTCAGAGTACCTAAATTAGGCAAACAGTATCCATTTAATTTTTTACCCATCTTAGATATTCTAGTTTTTTACACAGAGAGTATCTCATAAATTCAGGGTAAAAATCAAATGCGGTAAATCAGGGCGAAGTCTAGAGTAACAGTATAATTTTAGTTAATAATAAATATCTTCCATCAAATGTAAATTTTTTATTTTTAAACATTTTACAAAAGGGTGATGTATTTACATGAAATTTATATTGTTGACAAGTATATAGAATTTTTTTTTCTCCAGACTAAAACCTGAAACAAGCTTTTTATTCAAACAATCATTGAGATAAAAATATATCATTTNAGAAAGACACTTGGATAATTTTCAAAAGAAAGTTTTTATAGATTAAAACAAATTTAGTTCAGATATTGATTTAAAATTTAAGGGTGAAAGTAATTAGTTTATAACAAAAATTTTTTTTTTTCTTCTTAAATATAGAATGTAACAAACCTACTATATATTAATTTTTTTTAAAGACAAAGCATACAAAAATCAATTCAATGTTTTTAATTTCATAAGTATAGCACTTAAACTTTATAAAAGTTATATATAATTAGCTGTACTACATCTTTTAATTTTTAAGACATATTCACATAGTTCTTATTACACAAATCAGTAATTATTTATTACCAATGGATATAAAAATTGAATAATTCTCTGAAAACTATAAAAAATAGTGCATCTTTAGCAAAGTGAATTAGAAAAAAATCAACTTTTAAAAAAACACCCCATTTTTTTTTTAAAAAAAAAATTGGAAATTTTAATACCTCTAAGTGTGGACAAATCTATAGGTAGTATTTTTTGTTCAGTGTAGTAGCTATGTGAGAAATTTTTTAGCCTAATTTGTAAGTTTACAGAGAAAGCTTTTAAAAATGGAGTTACTTGTACTATACATGCCCATTTTTCAAAATAAGAATACCGAGAGGAAAATAAAAATCAAGATTTCCTTTGCAACATAATTTTCAGTTTTTTTATGATAGGGGTATTACTATCATTTTTATAATGAAAAACTATAGTCTGCAATATGCTTAAATTTACACGTATTATGGATACAAGTCCACCAGGAAACTAAGTGGATTTATAAGTTGAGAATAGACAATTTTATTTTTAATATATCTGCGTCATAATGAGGTTCAAAGGGCATGCAAGGCGGCATCCCCTACAAAACAAGCAGTAGAATATGAACCATGTATTAGAAAAATTCATATCTATACTCAACATATAGTACCATCTTTGATGTAGGATAATTTATTAAACATAAGAAATATATGTAATACCTAAAAAAAAAAAAATGAAAAAATCCTGAACTATAAACTCTGTCATTTTATAGAAAATAATAGAAATATCAGCTTTTGGCTCGTTACTACCGGCAACAATAATTTTTTTTAGTAAGAAAATTTAATGCTAGAAAAGCTATAAAACTTACAAAAAAAAAAAAAAATCTTAAATAATATTTTTTAAAAGGAATTAAAATACGTTTAAAAGTACGGAAAATTTAGAGCACTCAAAATAAAAGATATGTCAGTTTAGTAATCAGTAGCTTAATAAATTAAAAAGTGGTTGTATACAGTAGGAAAATAAAATTGGTAAAATATGATTTTTTTCAGAACACTATGTATAAATTTGTGCAAAAATCTCTCTAACTATGCAAGATATAAAATCTTGTAAACTATGCAAGACATATACCATTTTATGACTTAAGTCTAGAATTTTATATTTGGCATAAGTCAGAATCCTTGATGCATGGGAAAACAAAGAATTCAATTTAACAAAAAATATGTTTAGAAGTTCACAAATCCAAAAGGATAATTTGAATAAAGCACAAAACAGGTAAAAAAATAGACATACCATAGTCTCCTTTCTCTAAACAAAAATATATCCGCAGCGTTAAACACCAAATAACATTACTACAGTAAAGGAATAGTGAAAAGCGGTCCAACCAATCAGGACAGAAGAACAAGTTTGAGCAAGATTATAAAAAGGGTGATACAAAACATGTGAGAGAGGGATTGGCAGGACTACAGGGGATGGGGCAAAAGATAAAATTAGAATCAATAGATTTCCAAACATTGAAAAAAAAGTGGAATTATAGCAAGATCATTAACTAATTGTGTATAATATAAACTATAGTATGTCCATTTCTGTACTTTATTAATTATTTTTTTTCACTTAAGTTTAAAACCCTTCCAATTAAGGTTAAGATTAAAGTTAGACAATTAAACTTACCCTACCAGCTGGTACAACAGGTGGGCCAGAATGATAAACACCACCATGGTATGCACCGTGAGCAAAGAGTGATTAATTAAAATAAAAAGACAAATTCAATCACAGGCGCATGGAAGAATTTTCACTTCTGGATATTTAAAAAGGAAAACTGCATTTAAAAAATACGAGCAATTAAGAGGATAATGAATAAACAGTGCTCTATTGTGTTAAATAAAGGTTTTGCTATGATCATCAGTATCTTTATAATTTTAACCGTAGCTTGTTAAAAACACTTATACAAAATATATAAAATTTCAGGTTAAAAATATATAAATATTCATTTATGCTTTCAACCAATTATTGTTCATTTAAATGTAAATTAAATGGGTATAAAATAAAAAAAATCATTCAGCCATATGATATGCTAGTATTTCATCAATTAATACAATGAAGCTTAATTTCAAGAAAAGTAATCACTATCAGACGTTTAATTGGCTAACGAAAAGTAAAATTTTAAACAAAATGAATATTGAATTAGATCAACAGCATAAAAAATATAAAATCACACAGATGGCAACAATAAGCATTCATGGATAGCAGTTGTGGAGGAAATTAACATTTAAATGTAATAAAAATAAATTAACAAATAAATAATTTATGGATCCAACATAACTGTCGATTCAAAGATAGAAAATAATGTAATAAATTTAGAAATAGTGAAAAAAATTATCATTTATTGTTACTCTGTTAACTTTTTAGAGAATTAAGGTTTGTTCATTTTTAGTAAGAACCTTCCATTCAAATTAGGAAAATGATGCAAAATCCATGCCAATTAATGAATTTTTTTTTCTTGATAGTTTAAAATATTTAAGCTACCAATCAATTCTTTTTAGCAAGAGGTATGAATAGTTTAAAATTAGAGCTTAGTTTTAAATTTAAGGTACCCCAACTGAATAATTCTTTTTTCATTGTGAAGGAACTTTAAAAAACACCTTAAATTTGAAATTAATAAGGAAAATTAAAATTTATAAACAATAAATAAAGGTTTTGGTATTTAGCAAAATATAATGAGTTTGAATTCAGTTTAACATTTAAACATTAAAAAAAAAAGGCTTACATATGTATGTCTAACATTCTTTTTTTATTCATTTATTTTAGAAAATTATTTTAATAACATTTTGTGTAATAAAATTATTAAAACTGTACAAGTATCATTTCAATTTAATTTTAAAGCTTAAGAAATGAGCTATATTGAATATTTAATTGCACATCTCTTTAATATTTCTCTTGAATTGATTTTTAATAAAAATCTAAAATAGAATTATAAAAAAGAAAAAAAAATTTTTTTTTTGTTAATTAACTCATATTGAGAATAAGATGTAATTTTAAAAGTTTTTTTAATAAATGTTACAAATTTAAGGCGATTTGCATTCACATGAACTATAAGAAGAGCTATATGAAGTTTAAGAAATGAACTATATTGAATATTTAACTACACATCTATTTAATATTTCTCGAATAAATTTTTAATAAAAATCTAAGAATTACAAAAACATGTTTTTGTTAATTAACAAATATTGAGAATAAGATGTAATTTTAATAGCTTTTTTTATAAATATTACAAATTTAAGGCGATTTGTATTTACATGAATAAATATATAAAAATCTGGATATTTATTAAAAACTTAGTAAATATTTTAAATATTTACAATGGTAAAAATGCAAACAGGATTCTTTGCAGATCAATGCATACAAAAGACTACAGGGTCAACAAAACCAAACTGTATAGAAAGTAGCACAAAAAAAAAAGAAAAAAAAAGGAAAAAAAAGAAGACGTCAAAAAGAAGAGGAAAGTAAAACTCTAAGCTAAGCTCAGTTTGAAAAAAAAAAATTATCGTTTAAAATGCACACTATTAAGTGAAGCACCATATTAAAAACAATTGCAATTAGTATAACAGGTTAATCATACAACATGCATTAAAAGTTACAACAGCATGACTTATTTTAATGTCTTACAATTAGGACATTTGCATAAAATTTTGATTTTTGTCAACTTTTTTCCAGCAACAGGTTCCTTAATTTCCCTGTTGAAAGAGTACATAGATAAGAAAAAATAAATTGACAATATAAACATTACATTTCAATTAAATACAATAATGTGCTTTAATATGAATGCTTAAGAAATGAACTATATTGAATATTTAATTACACATCTCTTTAATATTTCTCTCGAATTAATTTTTAATAAAAATCTAAAATTGAATTAAAAAAAAAAACATGTCTTCGTTAATTAACAGAGCAACAAATATACATTTGATTTGTTTTCTTTTATATATATGTTATATATCTTAAGTTCAGTTGATTACAGGAGTAGATAGGACTGAATATACAGCTTAATATAATGCTCATAACTCAAATGGTATTACATAATCTAACATTACGTAATAAAGTAAGCCTGCGCTGTAGAAATTAAAGGAAGAAACAAATTGTGTGAAGTCCTACATACCCGAAAAGTGTCCTTAAAGGGATGGCTAAATGTGGTATATTTAGATAGAGTCAATAGAGATTTAAAACTCAAAATTTGTCAATCAAACTTGCAATATTTTTGAAAAAATCTATATTCGTACAAGGTTTTAAAAGATAACAGATTTCAAATAAAAAAAATATCATTATTTTCTATGTCAATCACTCGGTATCAAATTTTTTTGCTTATTATGCACTAGTTTTACAGAAACATAGGCATTCTGTTGCAATTTTAGAAAACGAAATTAAAAACATACATTAAACACACCTCTACGATGCAATATATACCTGCAACTTTTATTATATTTATCTATGAAATCTTAGATTAAATGCCAAAATAGCATTTTTTTTCAGAGGCACTGATTTTCTCAAGTAAATATTCATGGCAAAATTTACATTGTGAAACTTTACTTGATGAGAAGTAATTTAATAAAAAAATATCTAGAGTATAATTTTTTTTTTTAAATGTTTAAACAAAAATTATCACAAAATGTTTGCAGAAAAAAATATCAGATTTTTTCTGCTTTAAAAGAAATGATAAATAAATTTACTAGAGTAGATAGTTACCTTAAGATAAAATTCTTATCGGTAAATTCTAGTCACATTTTCTGATAAAATGGCACAAAATTGTTGATAAGGGACATTTCTATTTCATTATAATTTTACTTACTGAAAGCAGATTGGTTTCAACAATGGAGTAATAAATAAATAGAAATAGTAGGAACACAACAATAAAAATCTGGATTAAATGAATTCGATGAGTTACAAATAAATAAAATATAGTTCAATCAAAAAACTTCTTAACAGAAAAAAAATGGCAAAGCGAAAATGAGTAAGCTTTTGGGGGAAAGTGTCAATAAAATGTGCCAAAAGATAACCGACAAGTACATATTTCATTTATACAAGAAATATTATTACCTATTCTTTTGGAAAAGGTACTGTATTTCTCCGTAGCTTGTTATTCTTTTACCTAAAACACTAAAACTAATTTTCACATTTTTTTCTGAATTATGACTAAAAATATCTTTGGCTTTGAAAATCGAAATTCCTTTCTTATGACAATTTGAAGGAGGAACTTTAGCTGATTGGCTATCACTATTTTGTTGAGTTGTTCCACTACGAACCATATCACCATTCCATCGTCTTTTATTTTGAACTTTGGTTTCACTTTGTGAAGTAAGCTTTTTGTCTGAATTTTTTTTCTTCAATTTGCAAAACGGGTTATTAAAACTTTGAAAGTCAGGGGGCGGAGGAATCAGTGAATCTAATAGTCCTGTTAGAGCAGATTCTTCATTGAAAACAACAGTAGTCGGATGTTTCGTTTTGCTTTTAGCCTTATGGATACCATTTTCATTGTATGGCAAACCACCCCTGCATTTGGAAACTATGTTCTGCAAGGAAAAGAGAAAAATTAGAAAATTAAGCCTCACTTACCAAACAAAAGTTACAAATACAGTCAAAACTGTACAATTTACTGCCCTTGTTATTTGAGCTTGATTATATTAAGATTTGAATTTATCTTGTATTTTAAAAGGAAGCAAAACATGTGCAACCTGACACAGGGAAAGAATAGCAACACAATTTTGGAGCAGGTGAATTTAGTTTTTAGAACACATTTTAGGATATAAATTTACAATTTTAGTATATTTAACAGTTTGGTAAAAGTTGCATCACTAAATAAAAAAGAATGTAATAAGAAATATTTAAATAAATTTATAACTGAAAACAAGTACTGTATGGGTTTCTAGCAGAAAAAAACCCCGTAAAAAGGCTTAAAATATGTTTAGATACATTATTTTAATAAATTAAATATACCAATAGTCATCAATAATAGGTATAAAACATTACAGGTTACATTAAATTGAGTCAAATTTCAAAAAGACCCTCATCACAGTTCTAAACCAAAAATTTGAAAGAAAAAAAAAATAAATAAATAAATAAAATATTATTCTTTTTTTAGCAAGTACTTATTCACAAAAAAATTTCTTAAAACTCTGTGACATGACGGCAATGGCCACTGCTTTATTTCACTTACAATGAGACACATAATTTAAAAAAAAAAAAAACCCAACCTTTTAATAATTGGCAACTAAAGCAACACACTTCAAAAGATCATTTTACACGGGCTTTACTTTATTACAAGAGACATAAAAATACAAACCTTTTTGCTTGAGCCATTAAGTGCAAGCTTAGATTTGTTTTTTCCAGTTCTTAAGTTATTGCGACCATTTTTTTGCCTATGGAAGAAAAATATGTTTGAATATAATAGAACCTTGCAAGTTACTAAAATTCAAGTGACAAAATAATTTTGATGCAATACAACTACAAAAGAGTGTCTGTAATCTACGTGCCAAAGGGAAACACCAATAAATTGAGGAAATCCAATGAGCCAACTTCAGCTAAATGATATAATATAGTTAAAGAAAACAACTAATAAGACGAAGAAAAAGCATATTTGCCATTAATTTAGAGAAGCAATGGAAAAGACAGAGATCCTGCCCGCAAAATATCATAATTCACATGCTACTAGTTTTCACTGAACTAAATTACATGGCTTAGAAACATTTTAAATTTGACATATTTCAATTTTGAAATCAATAACATTCTGTATAAAAAAGTTTTTATATTTCTTTAAAAATGTACAAAAGTAATAGAAAAAGAACAGCAATCTCTTACAAATGTCGAAAATTTATTGTTTGGGTTGAGAAAAGAGTGTTGAAACCAAAATTTCAATATATTTTAAATAAATAAATGTGGTAATTAATTTTTTTTTGTTCATTTACATAGAAAATAATTTAACAGTCAGCAAAATTTTTAAGTTAGAAATTTTTTTTTTTTGTATAAGTTTAATAATTTTAAATCATTCTTCCATATTTTATGTTGTATCACAAATATCGTTTTCTTGCATCGATCGTTCACAATAAATGTAACCAAGCGAAATGATTGATGGTGGCTCTACTAAATAAAATTGAGAAAAAATTACAGTTGAGAACCATTTATCTGGTATCCAGAAAAATTTTTTGCTCAGTTTTCCTGTCATTTTAGACTAGAAAGATTGAGGGAAAAGCAGAAATTTGACTCATCCTTGATGTTGAGTAGAGGAAAATGTGGGGAGAGGGGGTGTTTTTTCTTCCCGTTTATCAAAAGCATGGGTGCAAGTTGGAAAAAAGGCCAAGACTGAAAATTTTGTGTCTGAAATACCTAACATNCCGCTTATCAAAAGAAAACTTCAATATTTCATCAATATTATACAAAATAACTGTAGTTGGAATCTCAAAGCATGCTGCAAATGCAGAACAACCAAGCATGTTCCATTTTTTTTTTTGAGTTCGTTGACTAAAAATTAGTTTGTCTAGTATTTTATTATTTTGTTGCAGAAAGCACTAAACAGACTAATTTATTACCTCTTCCTTTTTTTTTTGCAATAGCAACAAGCTTTTTACTACAGTCGAATTTTGATCCCTTGCTCCTCCTGTATCTTTTGTTTTTCTGTATGTATTGCCTTGTTTTACCGAAATGTCACAAATGTTATTCTTATAATGTTTCTAGTACTCGTTTAGACCATTTCTGAAACCAATAGATTCCCGCGCATTTTTCAGATATTTTATCGACATTTGAGAGGAAAAAAAAAAGTTTTGAGAAGAAAAACAGTAACACTTGATGTTTATGATGAAGAAGAAAATTAAAGTCTGTTGTAGTTAGGGCAAAACACATCAAACATCATGTTTGATGTTTATGCATCAGTAGATTAAAATGTTGAAAAAATGAATGCAGAGACTCGAAAAGTACAAAACGATATCAATGAAGACGTTGAAAATTTAACCAAAACCAGTGCAAACATTTGCAAATGCAAAGGCCTCAAAGCTATTGAAACTATGCAAAAATTTTGTATTTACAGTAATCTAACAGCAGTTTGTTAGAAATGACAAAAATAGATCATTTGAATTAAGGAGAAAATGAGTGTAACCAAAACCAAAATTTCTCTATATTATTAAAACTAAACATGTTTAGTGACATTTCTTTAACGCTATAACCATGCTTGCAGCAAGTANTTCCGCTTTAAGTGGTCACCATTTTTTAAAAGACAAAAATAAGAAACAAAATTCCCTGTATTTTCCCAGTTTGTAAAGAAAAAATCAAAATTCACTGCATTTTCCCTGTTATTCTAGGTGATTTTTAAATTCCCTGTATTTTCCAGGTTTTCTCTGTGGAGTGGCAACCCTGTAACAGCAATTTGTTAGAAATGACAAAAATAGATCATTTGCATTAAGGAGAAAATGAGTGTAACCAAAACCAAAATTTCTCTATATTATTAAAACTAAACATGTTTAGTGACATTTCTTTAACGCTATAACCATGTTTGCAGCAAGTACATAATTTCTTTAACTGTAATGTATTATACTTACTACAACTTATAAGTCGGTTACTTCTTTTTTACTTTCAAACTTTTTCAAGTTATTATTTTGTATTATCTTGCATTAACCATATCTTTTGTTCACAATGTATGGTCCCATGATGAGAAGCGATCAATTAAGGTTCTATTGAATCAGTTATCATCTGAAGTAATAGTTCTTTTTTTTCTTCTTATTAAGATACGTTGAATGAGATACTGAGATACGTTGAATGAGATAATTAAGTTTAAAATGGATAACACATTCTGTAAATGTAATGAGCATTGATTTTTTATTACAGCACAATGAAGGTAAATAATATAAGTTTACTTACACATTTTTATTAAGGATATGATATTTTTTATCCATCACTTGAAATTCCCAAACCAATGTATCATTATGGAGTTTAACAGATGAAGGATAAACTGGTGGAGGTTCAGGAGGTACTTTGACTCTTAAAGCCCATATGAATTTACTCTTCTTGATTTCTTTTCCATTCTTGAATCTGTTTTAAAAGAAAAAAAAATGGTATAAGTTTACAAAAATAAAATAAAGAAAGAATGAGGGGAAAAAAAGTTTGCATATAAAGGGCAAGATTGGAAGATATATCTAGTGGCTACCAGAATTAAATTTTTTGGTGGTTACTTTTTACAGTACATGTACTTTAATAATAATTTTGCCACTAAATTATTATTAACCCTTTCCCGCCGACTATCACATATCACAGACAGCCAGCAAGAAACGCGCACACTTCCCGGCCGACACACCTGCGTGCCAGAGTGTTTTCTCGTTTACCCCCGGCCGTCACATATTTGTGCCAGCGTTTCGGAACGCTTTAAAAAATAAAATTTCTTCCAGAAGATGGCATTGTATGTCCATATGGTTTCTGATACATGTAGATTTGACCTTCTACTCAAGATGAGAGTACATTCACATAGTTTTTAGGGGGAAGGAATGTTTTATGACGGCTCTTTAAATTCGCACGTGGTATTTGTTTACAGTAAGAAGGGGAGGTTTTTTTCCTCGCTACTTTTGATTTAGTTTTTAGTGGATAGTTAGATCTTGTAGATCCCTGTTTAAAAATTTTTCATACGAAAAAAGAACTTTAAGTCATTCATTTAGTTTTCAGATATGTAATGTTAAATGTTTACATAATGAAAATAAAATGTGTAAAACATATATTCAAACAAGAAATAATTTAAGTAAATAAAGTATCCATAGAAATATATATAAAGCATATGTCATTTAAATAATCTACAGAACAATATCAAACAACGCGTTGATATTACGGTATTTTCATGGAATTAGGCTTAACAGCAAAAAACCCTCTGGCCCTGGAGAGACTGCTGGCCTCAGCGGTAAGCACGCTTTCACGTTTCCCGTCGCGAAAGGGTTAAAAACAATATTAATAAGGTAAAAACAATTATAATAAAAACAATCAGTAAAATAATAATTAAAAGGAAAAATAATTTATAATAGAATCAATTTGATACTTGTTTTTCTCATAATGAATTTTAAACCTCTGTATCAGAATGAAATATCATAACTAACTCTGGAAAATTAAGCACCTCAAATAAATATAAAATATCAAGGTTAGAATTTCTGAAACTGCTGCTCATAACTTTTATCTCTGTATTAATTGTTCCTTCTTTCTTAAATTTTTTAAAATTTGATTTGTCTTTCATAATCTTTATTTTTTTTTTAAATATATATTATCTTTTAATCATTGCCAGATTTTTTTAAAAATTTCATTCTTAAACTTTTTTTTGTGGAAATATTACTAAGTGTTTATTTACAATTTTTGTTGCCGTTCTTCTCGCTCCATTGTTATTTGGTACAGGAGTGACAAAGACAAAATGCCGCACCTGGCTTTTTATTTCCGTTTCATCTTTCAGCAAAGAAACTAAACTAAATTATCTACTCTTTGAGGAGTTTCTTTATCAATAATTAATTTTACTCCACAGCCTCAATGAAAAACAAAGTAAGTTACACCTGAAAAGATGTTGAAACAAGCGGATGCCACATGGCGACCACTAATCTTGCTCTTTATTTGCATAAAAATAAGGAGCAAGATAAGCATTCGCCACTCGCCAACTAAGTAAAATAGCCACCAAAATGTTTACTATCATTCACAACCGCCTCTTTGTCAATTGACATTCTAAACCACTCCCTAATCACACGCACCTACATAATAACTAGAGCCCGGAAGTTCAGGCAAAATGCCATGAATGCCCTTTTCTGCCTTTTTTAAACGTTTTCTTCTGAAAATACCTTTTTCTTTCCTTTTGTTCATAAATGCCTATTTCTGTCTAATTTAAAGTTTTTCTGCAAAGCTTTTTGTACTTTTGACCGATCATAAATTTTGAGGTACAGAAATGGTTGACTGTCATCCGACGTATTGTAATGCATTTATAGAGATTAGGACTTTATTCCTTTTGGGACAACTCCCTCCCTCTGAGGCAGTGGTCACCCTTCGCACTGTACAATGGCTATTCATCTGAGCTGATAGTGTACTCGTGCTTGAGTGAGCAAGGCAGGTGAAAGACATTTTTCTGTCCATGAGATTGACAGTGTTGTTTGAATAGAGAATAGAATACACTTAAAGCTGGAAATGCCATAAAAGTTTTATTTCCTAATATGATCCATCTAACGTGCCTTGCTCATGCATTGCACAGGATAGCAGAGGAAGTANTATTATTTTCCTGTTTGAAAATAAAAGAGACTAAAGATTTATTTGTTTAAAAATGATACTGACTGTCTAAAAAATTATAAAAAAAAGAATACTTTAAGTACTAATGTTAAATTATTAAAAAGCGTCAAATCATTACTAAACTCTTTATTTAATTTTTAAAAAAATTATTTGTTTTAACTGCACTACGCACATGGTAGGCGGCAATAAGTACGTCTTAGTGAGGGGACTGAAAAGTAATGTTCATTTTTACGAAAAAACTTGCTAAGAGTAAAAAAGTCTCCCAATAGTCGCCTATTCCTGAAAATAGTTACTTTCTTAGTCTTTTCAGGCAAAAAAAAAAAAAAAAAAAAAAAAAAAAAAAAAAAAAAGCAGCCTAAGGTTGAAAATAGCAGCAAATAGTCGCATTTTAGTAGTCTGTGGCAACCCTGTAGTAGCAGCTGCAGAAATTCTGTCCTTAATATTTTATGTTAAGAAGCTTAATTTTCCAGAGCTGATTATTATATTTCATTCTGATACAGAAGTTCAAAATTGATTATGAGAAAAACAAGTCAAAAATCAAACATATTATGCACTCTTTTTTTTATGATGATATTTTATAACCTTAATAAAATTTTTCTAAACTAAAAAAATAAATAAATAAATATATTTATAACAATTTGAAAGCAAAATGATCAATGCAAAAAGTGGCTAATTGAAAGAAAAAAGTGACCATCAATAAAATTATGCATAGGGCCCACCTGTTAAACTTCCTAGTCTTGCCCATTACATATAAATAAACGAACATGTTAAAATTGCACAACTAAGGTAAATTCCTTAATGTTATGTGAAATCACTCAATTTTAATTGCGTTAAAAGTATATTGAAATAGTTTTTAATTTTTTAAAGAGTTTAAAGTTTTTAAACATAAATTTGAACATTTCAAAATAGAACTTTCAATAAAAATTCTAATTAAATAAATTAAATAATGAAATTACTAGATTACTTCTTATTTATTTTTTGTCAGTTTTTTATTGAAGAAAACTTTCTTTTTAAATCCTAATATATCTTGGTTACAAGTTCAATAAATATTTGAGAGGCACCAGAAATATGGTCAAAAGTCTAAAATTAAAAATGCAATTCATGATAAATGAAACAAAAAACAGTAAATCGATAAAAAGTTTTATGTTAAAGTATTCTTTTCTTACTTAGAAGAGTCATTTGATAACACCTGAACTATTGTTGCACGTTTATCTTCCTTCTTTGTTGTTAAAACCTGAAATATATTTTTAATTATACTTCAGAAATAAAATGTTCCATTATGAAATACTGAGATTATTTTAACTATTTTTTACTAGCCAAGAACACACAACTTGAGAAAGGATTGCTAAGTGCCATGGGAGATTTTTAGAAATAATATAGAGATAGTTAGATAATATAGATGCACACGCGCACGGATACATAGGAAGGGATTCTCTAATTTCGAAGATACCTTCTTAATATTTTTTGTAATATTAAAAAAAAATATCCATGCAAAAAAAAAAACTTTGCAGGGAAAAATAAATAAAATAAGAAGTAGAAGACAACATATTCATAATTAATGCAAGGTAGAAGAAGGTAGTTAAGTTGTATGCGTGCTGCTACCAAAGATAAAACGCTCATTTCGCCTAAAAATCAGCGATCCCATTGCTAGCGGACAAGCACACAACTGGACATGACTATTGTTTTACAACAAAAATAAACAATTATCGTCACAGTAGGAAATCATTTAATGTAATTTCTTTAGTACCCAAATTTAACATGAAATGTTAAATATGGATTTTGCGGTTAAGAATTGTAGGAGCAAAATTATTATTACTTAATTTTTAATAATAATGAATACCCAACACTAAACATTCCAACACTTTACAATATAATAACTGGTCATTTGACTAGTTATGGTATGTTTAATGTTAATCTGAATGCAGTTTGTTAAAAATTCATTTTTGTTTATAATTATTTATATTAATCTTCCTCTAATATTCTTAAAGTTAATGTACATGCATATTTTTTTTCGGGACTAAGTAACTAAATAAATACATATTAAATAGGCAAATGCTTTTTGCCTTTTTTTTTTTAAATGTATTAAAAGCATTTTGTAATAAAAAAATATTACAAGTGTGCAGATACTTATTATTTTTTTTTTTTTAAATCTTACTATGAATATAGATTTTGAAATAGTNTTTTTAACTAGCGAAGAACACACAACTTGAGAAAGGATTGCTAAGTGCCATGGGAGATTTTTAGAAATAATATAGAGATAGTTAGATAATATAGATGCACACGCACACGGATACATAGGAAGGGATTCTCCAATTTCGAAGATACCTTCTTAATATTTTTTGCAATATTAAAAAAAAGTATCCATGCAAAAAAAAAACTTTGCAGGGAAAAATAAATAAAATAAAAAGTAGAAGACAACATATTCATAATTAATGCAAGGTAGAAGAAGTTAATGGACATGCATATTTTTTTTTTCGGGACTAAGTAACTAAATAAATACATATTAAATAGTCAAATGCTTTTTGTTGTTTTTTTTAAATGTATTAAAAGCATTTTGTAATAAAAAATATTATAAGTGTGCAGATACTTAATTTTTTTTTTTTAAATCTTACTATGAATATAGATTTTGAAATATAGTAAAATTTTTAAAGAAATTATATTAGGAATTAATTTTTAGACATAAGGAATTCTAGGGAATAATAAAATACAAAACTATATTGCACATATAACTATAATTCAAATTGACCGCTTTCAATTCCTTTTATAGTTTACTTACTTTTATAGTTTATTACTCAATAACTTTTAATAGTTTTACTAAGCTTATTATATTTTTGAATAGTAATAGATATTGAATTTAACACATTATTTAGTACTGCACTTAAAATACTCAATGCTTTAAATAAATATTTTATACCATATATTACATCAAATTATATTGTGAAGCTTGAATTTTTTTCAATTTTTATAAGTCATAATAATATTGCATTAAAAAAATTGAATTTTCAAAACTTTGGTGAAATCTGCTAGCAATAACTGCCCAAAAGCAATCTGCAAAATCACATAAATTTACAATAAAATATAGTAAATTGATTGCATTGAACGGCCGTAACTAACGTAATTCCAGACAACAAACAAAATTTAAAAAAAAAAAATTCAGTTTATTATTTGTTAAAAAGAATAAACAACGAACTAGAAAAAATATTTACTTTACTTAAGGCAAAGTCCATAAATGAATAGAAAAATATACTATTTTTTTCCCTACTCATAACAAGTAGAAAGTTTTAACAGCTTCCAGTTTAATTTTATAAATGGAGCACTGAACAACTTATAATAGTTTGAGCTCAATAGTAAATTTTTTTACAGCACTATGAGATTTCAAAAAAAAAAAAAGTCAGTAGCAACTAATTAATATTCCCTCAATCAGACAAATATTTAAAATTTGTAATTGAATCAAAACTTTCTTTATCAAATAATTTTAAAGTAGGGTTTCAGTAATCTAAACACCACACAAAAAAGCAGAGTAGTGTTTGAAAAAAAAGAAGTTGCATTTTGCAATAATCTAAATGGTCGCTAAGGCAGTGGTTCCCAAATGGCTTCCTTCGAAGGGTGAAATTGGTTCCGAGAATTAGGACTTTTTTTAAACAGTTCCTTTTAACACTTTAGAAACCTGCAATTATATTTAGATCCAATCAATAATCCATTATTTATTTAATATTTTGGTTGCCTTTTTTGATATTATTTAAAATAAAATGCGAATATAAAAGAAACTGATTGTTTTCGAAAAAATACAGTTTTTCAAAAATCGTGTATGGAATAAATTAGTAAAAGGACAGGCATTTATAAAATATTGCACTAGAAGTTCCCATCACGCTTTTTAAACCAAAATTAAATAACAGATTGTTAATAAAGAAATATGTTTCCCTAATAGCTACTTTAAACATTTAAAGCACTTGTTTTTCCCCCAATAAAAACCATAATTTGACTTTTTTTAATTCATTTTAGCTTATGTTTATACACAGAAAACAAATTCATAACAAGACTATTAAGCTCCAGGACCGTGCATTGAACAGTCAGATATAAAACATAATTTAAGATAAATGATAAAACAATGAAAAAATGCTACTCTTCTTATTAAATATTTTCAAAATAATGCAATCTTTTATAAGTTAGTAATTGCCGATATATACCTAAGTTAAAAAGTCAGGGTTCGTCGCTGGAATATCGATCATTTAGAGTTCCATAGCCGAAATAATTTGGGAACTGCAATCCTAAGGAATATTATGTAAATCTAAGTAGCTTCAAGTACTTCTTAGAGACTTTTTATTTCAAAGAAGTTTCTAAAGAGTATAAGGAGTCTGTGTGAACCCTTCAATTGAAAACTTAATAAGAAATAAAAAGGTATGGCATAGTCTGCATTTTCTACCATAAATGTATAAACTTAGCTCAGTTACTCAAATTCACAAAAATGTCAAACAGATTGTTTATTAACTCAGCTCCAATTATTAAACAGCATTACTTAAGCACAAATGATCACTAAAGTCAACTATTTCCATATTGTATTTTTGTGGCAAAAATTTTACCCACTAAATTTTGTACTCAAAACCTTGTTTTTCAGGTTTTTTTTAGTACACTTTACTTTTAAAACATAATCCTTCTGAATAACACAATACTTCATTATACATATTCAATATATACTTAAGGTTTTCCATTTTAGAAAGGAAGGCACTTAATTTTTATTAAAATATTATCTGGTATAAAAAATATTAAATCCTAAAACAAAGCAATTAATAACATTACACACATCAAGTCAAATTTGTTAGTGTGTGTAGTAGTGTATAAGAAACTCACAGTTCCAAATAGATTCAACTTATCCCAATTTTCCACAAAGAAAGGTAGAATTTCATGATCTATGTGAAAATATTTCTGTTGTTTCTGAATAGTAAGATGATAAAGCACCAGATGTATCAATTCAGACCTATAAAAAGATTACCATTTTTATGCATATTATACAGTACTGTTTGGCAAAAAATATTATAGGTATAATAAAATTAGGCATTAAAAAAAAGAAAATTCATATATAAAATTTAAATAATTTATATTTTTAACTTTAAATTTTTTCCTTTGCAAAATAAATCCATTCAGTTACAATCAGGCGAGTATCAAGTCATTGCAAAATTTGACATTAAGGTATTGTCAGATTTTAGAAGTTTTGCAATGACTTGATACTCATGTGATTGTAACTAAATGGATTTAATATGCAAAGGGAAAAATTTAAGAGGGTACTTAATGACTAGTGTTCATTGGTAAAAAATTCTTGTATCACCCAGTTTTAGAGTCAAAGGAGAATACTTTATTTAATATTTATCTTGTTTTGCAAATTAAAAAAAAAAAAAAATCTTCCCATCTAGCTGGCTAAAAATAAAATAAAGTACCAGCTTTGTCACCCATTGCAGGGGTCTGTCCAGACATTTTGTGAAAGGTCCGTTTTTTTGTAAAATTGAGAAAAAATTACTCGTAATTTGGGAATATAAAATAAACACTAAGTCACATTCTTTCAACCAGGGTCCTGCCTTTATGAATTTGTGCAAATAGGGTTTGTTTATTGCAAAAATATTTTTAATAAGTTTTTAAATTGTAAAGAGATACGAAATTATGCTCAGCACTGTAAAATTATAATTAAAAAAATTAAAATTTTCAAAAATAAACAGCAATTCTGCTTCTAAATTAGAGATGCAGCGTGCAAATATTTGGTATTTAGCCTATACTGCTGAACGCAGAATATTCACTGAAGACAAAACTTAATTCGTTTACATCCATCTTTCTTGCTTTCTGCCCTAGGAAGGGTTTATTCGATTAACAAAACAATAATGAAGATAAACAAATTTGACAAAGATCCGATTAAAAGAAAAATCATTTTGTGAAGAGTCCGTTTTTAAGTTAAAATATTTTGTGAAGGGTCCGTTTTTATGAAAAGATATTTTGTGAAGTGTCCGTTNGAATCTTCTAAAAAGATGGAGGCAGCAGGAGAGCTGAAGGCAACAGAATTTAAGGATTTAGGGAAACCGATTTAAGGAATCCGATCACTCAAAAAAAATTTCAAAACGCCAAAATAAAAAATATTTAGCACTTTTTTAGCACTCAGAAGAAATTTTAGCACTTTTTAGGCCCTAAAAAAGTTGGGAAAAAATTTTAGCACTTTTTTAGGACATTTTAGGACAGCATGAACCCTGCCCTGGAAACTTGTTTTTACAAGAATTCACTCAATCAACATTAATCCCTCTCAACTGAAAAATGTGAAAGAATGAATTTTAAAATTTTTTGTCTGACAAAATAATGAAAATAGAAATTGGCCACCAGCACACACTGGTCATTTAATATTTTTTTCTTCAAAAGTGACTTTAAGGACCAAGTGTTAAAAAAGGAGTGAAAAGGGATAAAAAAAAAGTTCCTTAAAGGGACTAACTCTAAATATACGGAACATAGAAGAAAGTTCATGTTTAGAGAATTACAACTATAATGTGTTTATTTCTGTTCTTTAATCATGTTTTTCACTTTATATAAGTAGAAGCAGAATAAAATATTATACACCCATTTCCCTACAATATTAGTTTCTCAAAGAACTTGTATACCAAAGAGTATTAGACAAAACTCATAGAGTTTATAACTGTTCAACTTTAAAGTTATAAAATAATGATATTTTCCTACAGTCTGACAAAAAAAAAAATCTATACAATTGAATTGCAGTTTTCAAAAAAAGTTCACTTGATTCTTTTCAAAATAGACCTTTCATTGCTATGTTTTTTTGCACACAAATGGACTCATGATCAAAAAATACTTATAACTAACTTACAAAGTTAAAAAAAAAAAAAAAACAACAACAATGCTCTAAAAAAATTACATTTTTTTTTTGTAACTTATGGCTTCCGGAAAAGAACCTTTTCGAAGATTCCCAACTTAACTGCATTTTAACAAAAGCAACATAGGAAGTAGAAAATTTTAACACCTCTATTTGCAATGATTAACAAAAAAAGTGAACAGTATATGTGAAAATATTCGATTATTTTGTTTAAATACTAAAGACACATGATAAAAATTGTGTCATCTTGACATGCAGAATAGAAAATAGCGATTCAATGTCTTTTTAAAATTAATGATAGATTTCTATTGGAAAAATAAAGGCCTAAAATTTTTTNTTTTTAAAAAAAAAAAAAAAAACTGAGTGAGTAAATAATATGAACGAGAAGAAATTATTACCAAGTAAATTCAAGTCGTGCTAAGCACTCAGATCCAGGGTTGCATACAGAACAAACTAAAATGTAAAATTTGTCGCCATGCAGAATTTTTTCTCCAAGACTTTTTACACAACCTAAAATAATAAAAACATTGAAACGAGTGCAAAATAATATAATAAGCTAACAATAAACATATGAAAATTTTGGGAAATTTAAATTAAAACATACCTGCATGCAACCATCTCTTGCATTTCACACAGCACACTAACTTTACTGGCTGTCTAAAAGAGCAAACAAAATTTCAAGAACAGAATAGAATGCTTGATGAAATACATAATTAAGAAAATTTATATTTTTAAAATCTTCACTCTTACTTTTCAGAGTATACACATATTCTAAAGCACAAAACTGCGATGTGATACAGTTATTTATATTCAGGTCGTATTTTATATGCCACTAATAATTTTGCTATATAGGTATTTATTCAAAATTTGATAATCAACTAATGGTCGAATTAAAGTTCTCTTAATTTTGCAAAAAGACTCTGTAATTCAACAAGCATATTTGTTTCTTTCTCATCTAAAAAAGTAATAGTTGGTTTCGGACATAGAATAGATTTGGTTCCATAAACAAAAACCTTCCTCATTGTCTGAACACCAAATGGCTGTTAAGAAGTAAAGAGACAAACACATGCAAATTGATTAAACCAATAGGGACATAGGAATAAGTTTGAGAAAAGATAATTAAAGATGGGAGATAAGAAACAGGTGAGATTGGGTTTGGAAGGAGCGTTAGAATAGTTGGGAAAAGGTGAGGTACTAAAAAGATTGTTCAGTATTTTAAATAAATGTTTATTTGGAACATCCTGCCTGCCCCATCACAGAGGCAAATGCACCCTCTTTGCCATTTTTGTAAAAATATTGTTTTCTTATTTAGAAAAATGAAATGTTCATTTTTATTTTAAAATATGAGATTGCAGCAAAGAAATCATAAATTTCAAATAACTATAACTACTGTAAATTATTACCAGGCTAAGTTTAGATAAAATATCATTTTTTATATTTATTTGATTATTTTTAACTGCTTTGAAGAATACAAATTTAGTTAGATAAAATTAATATATTTAGGAAGAATAGTGCCCTTTGCTTTTGAAAAAGCACACTGTTCCTTCCCTTTAAAATTTTTTTATGGAGATCTCTCCTTCAATTATTAGAATTTTTCAAAACATGGAATAACTGACAGAAATCAAGCTTAGTAGATGAAGAGCAGTGTTGAATGATTTTAGCACAAGGAAACTCAAACCTATGATTAGAATTGTTGATCGAAAAGATTTAAACTTAAGATACAACATAAGGGAGAGAGAAAAAAAAATTAAGACAGACTCAAACTAACAATTAAAAACTAAGAAATTTAATCTGAAAATGAGATAGTAACTCTGAGTGAATGCATAAACATGTGGACATAAGGCAGGTATCTAAAAGTTAAGAGGATGAAATGAAAGGTTCTGATTAACAGAAGTGAGAAATTATCACAATTACGAGTAATAAGAATGCCTGGGAAAGGTAAATACTTATAATTTCTTGTTGAAACGCAGATTGTATGCAAGGATCTATAGCATTCATAGTATTGAGAACATGATCTATGTCAGCATTGTCTATCAATCCGAAACAATCATCAATAAAAAGGGAACTTTAATAAATCGAAGAGATTCACTTCAAAGCAGCGTTCCCTGTGGCAGAATTTTTTTTGGATTTAAGTGACAAACCTCTCTAGCACTAACATCTTTCTGCAAGATACTTTTAATAATAACAAATATTTATGTTACAAATTTAAAGAAACAAAAGCATTGTGTTTACAAAAAAAAACCATATTTGGATAAAATAAAAAACTATAAATTTTTTTAAAATATGTAATACAGTAGGGAACCGATTATCCGGAACGATCGGGGCCATCGATATTCCGGATAACTGATTTTACCGGTTTTCTGAATCGCTACAAAAAGCAATTTTTTTTTATTGTTAACCCAACTAAAAAAAAATGGAAATAATCTTAAAAAGAAGAAAAAACGATGAAGTAATACACTAATGATTAATTCCAAAATGATGGTAAGGTAAACATCTTTCAAAAAAGAACAAAAAATCCTTAAATCTTATGAGGAAAAAAAAAAATTTTTTTTTTTAAGAAATAGCGGGAAAATTTATCGAATTACGTTCCGGTATTTTGGTTTTCCGGTTTTCTGATTTCCGGATAACGGGTTCTGTACTGTATTTCTTTTCTATTGTAATGAACGATATTACCGCATTTTGAAGGGGGGGGGGGAACGCACTTACTTATGCCTTTTTTGCAAATCATAAAAAAATTTAAACTAAAAATTGCAAAATCCGTAGTAGCGACTATTGAAAAAAAAAATTCTGTGATGAAATCATGCGCAAAGGACTCTTTAAAAACAAGTTACTCAAAAGTGTGTTGCGTTTCAAAATTTCACTGTTGCAATAAATAATAGAGTATTAAAAATATTGATTTAAAAACCATGGGGAAATCAATCGCAGTAACTGCCAAAAAAATTGATAGAATCTTGCATTCAAAAGTATAATTGCCATTAAGCATAAAATTTTAACGACATGCATGCATTTGGATAAATAAAATTTAAAACAGAATCTTAACATCTTATTTAAAACTGATTTTATGAAAGAAATTTAGGTCAATTCAACAAGTTGGCAATCAATACCTATAAATGAAACATACCACAGAAGATAAATTATGTTTATTACACTAATTATATACGACTTACGCTGCGGATTTGCCACAATAGCAAGAGGTTTTAGATTTTGCGTCCTTCATATTGGTATAAAAGTCTAAAGATCTTCTGTTCTAGAAAGAAAATAAAAGATTATGCTTGTATAGATACATATACTTACAGTAATTTCTGGCATATAAACCAGGGTTGGCAAAAAAAAAAAAAAAACCCAAAAAAAACCCCCAGTTTTTTGGTTTAAACCAGGTTTTTTCCGGCATTCGTTTTTCATATTTACTTTAAAAATGAAAATAACTTCCAAGAACAATTAAAAAAAATAACAAGTAATTATATCAAACCGTACTAAATTTTATTACAATTTTTATACAGGGTTGGAAAAAAAAAACAGGAAAAGTTTAGAGGAAGAGAAAAACTTTTTTTTTAACATTGAAAAACAAGTTTTGCAGCTTTTTCTAAGCTGAGTCTGTTATACAAATTTGATTGTACAACTCCAAAAATAGAAAAAAATTTCTGAACATTTGGTGTAGTTGTTTCGCAGCAAGAATTACTTCAACTTCCTTAAAAACATCGGCATTAAACTTCTTAATATCATTTTCTCGCATTCGCCACGATTCTATAACTGTTACATTTTCAATGGATTCCCTCTCACATAGGCCTCTTTGGTAATGAAAATGACTATCTTTTGGACAAGCAGAAGAAGCTCCTTCTGATAACACAATTTCAAGTAGTCCTTTGACCTTCCCTGAGATTTGCTCCAAGATCGGAACCACTAACCAACAACTATGGAACATCCCTCCGGCCCACTCTTGGTATAATGGACAGACTCCTGGTGGGGCACTTACCATAAGGGGCTGATAGAGCCTTACAGTCCACTATAAGTGGACACATCAGGTGTCTCTCTTTTGAGCTTGGGCGAAAGACCTATTCAACGTGCACGAGGTGGGATTCTGCACAGGATTCTCCTGATCGCATTTTACACTGTCTTGGTCTGGAAAAGAAAGACCTCTACTCTGGTCCCTTACTTGTATTTGATTTCCTGAAGACTTTCGAGCTCATTGACTTTGACGAGCACAGGATTCTCCCGATCGCATTTTACATTGTCTTGGTCTGGAAAAGAAAGACCTCTACTCTGGTCCCTTACTTGTAATTGATTTCCTGAAAACTTTTGAGCTCATTGACTTGGTCTAGTCTGCGGCTGACCAAGAGGAATAAGTCAACAACAACATATTCAATAAATTCCTTTTGAAACAGATACCTTTGGAATGGAAAAATTTTTGCACAAAATTTTAATATCAGAGTTAATAAGTTATTTTTCGGAAACATTTTCTTCACATATTCTATAGTCATTTTTTTTTCATCTGCTGATAATTCATAATCATCTTTATCTACAGCTTTTGGATGCAACAGAAAAGCAAGAAGGTGGGCTGGTATTATTGCCATTTTATAATGATGATCTAATTTTTTCAGTACATTTTTATTGAATTTCCTATCGTGCATTTGCTTTTTAAAATTTTAAAATTAAAACAGTTATTTACAACATCAAAATAAACATAAAACAGTTATTTACAAGATCAAACAATTTGAAAAATATAATTTTAAATAAATAAATAAAAATGCAATTTTAAATTATTCTTAGGGAAAAATTACCATGGTGTAAACCATGCTAACTCTGATATAAACCCACTCTTTTAAGAATCCAAATTCATTTTGAAGGTCAACTTATACACCAATAACAGATCTGAAGAGATTTTTTTCAAAATTTGACTTTTAGCATAAATTAACTTACTCTTATAGGTATATACAAACATAAAACTGAAAAAAATTATTTTGCAGTAATGTTAATTGTTGTTAAGTTTTCAGTAATGTCAGCCGCAATAATGTTTGCAGCAATGCAATTCATTAGAATTAGAGAAGTATCAGAAATTAAAACATAATTAAGAGTGAAAGAGTAAAATTTATTCCTATTCATACTATTTTATGTATAAATTATTTAAAAATCCAAGCATCTATTTAAAATTAATATTTTTGATGAATTTACATGATTGACAGACAGTTATTAATTTAAACAAGCAAATTTTTTTTAAAGAAATTAGTAAAATTTTTTTTTTGTTTGTACAATATAGATAATATATTCCTTAGAATGGGATCTTTTTAAGTCTCACTTCAGCGATATTGAAGGTTTTTAACTAAAAAATAAAGAAAGGAATGTACAAATAAATTATTATATTAATTTACATGAATATTTCGTGCATCATTTTATTAAAAAAAAAGCATTAGCTTAAATAAGCTGACTATTTTTTAAAATAATAATTTAAGTATAAAATACATTTTATATACAATACAATTAAAAAAAAAAAACATTTAGGGTGTGATTTTAGTCAAAACATTATTTTATGATGATTTTATTCTAAAAAATCATAAAAGCAATATGCAAGTAACTTAGTATCAGATAAAGATAAAATAAAAATCTTTTTGAGAACATAAAATCATGGAAACAATTAACTTTTGAAACTAATTTCAACCTTTTTGGCACCATCTAATATTGTCGAAATTTGTCTGAACATCACCAATCTTTTTAAAACACATTAAAATTTTTACATAGCTATTTATGCATGTCAGCACGACTAAAAGTCAAATGCAATGATGTAATCACAAAAATAATGCAGCAGTGCAAAGTAAAGAAAGAAATTTTCATATCCATTCCTGCCAGATTGATTTGCGGGTTAGAATAGAGAAATTTCAACCTTTTTTTTAAATTTAATGAATAATATTTAGAAACTTTCTGTGATGATGAAAAATATTTACAACAGGGTAAAATAGGAGAGTTCTGACCCTTTTTTGCTTATAATGATTAATTTTAAAGAATATTTCTGAATTGTGATAAATTTTCAATGAACAGCACCTGCTTGTCCAGATATATGCTTTAATTCTGATTATCATATTAAAAAGAGTCAAAATAAAAAAGGATACCAAACATGGATATCATGAAACTTAGGAAATTATAATTTTCCATTAAATGTATGTAAAAGAATGTGTGGTAAGAACAATTTTAACTATACAGGGGTCTGTCCAGACATTTTGTGAAAGGTCCGCTTTTCCTGAAATTGTGAAAAAATTACTCACATTTTTTCAACCAGGGTCCGTTTTTATGAATTTGTGCAAATAGGGTCCTGTTATTGCAAAAACCTTTTTCAAGGAGTTTTTAAATTGTANTTTTATTATTTAATTTTATGAATAAATATAAATTTATCAATTATTTATTTACAAAAAAAAATTATGAGTTAATATTAATAAGAATGTGCACATCATCATGTTTTTAAAAGTAGAAATATTTTCTTCGATTAACAAAACAATAATGAAGATAAACAAATTTGTGAAGGGTCCAATTAAAAGAAAAATCATTTTGTGAAGGGTCCGTCAACGGACCCAAATTTCTTCTAAACAGACCCCTGCTATACCCATTTAATTTTATGCTTATTTAAATTCAGTGTTTTGAGAGCTTATTAAATATGTAGTTTATGTATATCAGCCAGAGTAACTTAAAATTAGTTATTTTTTCTGACTTAAACTAATTTACTCTTCACTGGCAAATGGCCCTCAATCATTAAGAGGTCCTATGATTTTATTATTTCCAATGATTAATTTTTAATTATTAAATATTAATTTAAATCATTTTTGTAAGAAATGTTAACTATTCTAGTTGCTATGATATTGTTTTAAAATAATCCTGCTATTAATACATTGCATCAGATGTTTTGCTTGGCAAAAATTTGATTTAAGGAAAATAAATCCGTTCTTTTTTTTTCCTATTCGAAAAAATATCATGAACTTTGGCTGTATAAATAGATCATTTCTTAACAAAAAAAACAAACAAACTCAAAGCTTAAATTTTAATGTTTAAAAGGAACCCAGCTCTTGAGAATATAATTAAAAGAGCAGAATATTAAAATATTTTTATAAAATTTGCTTAACTGACTTATACATTGTAAATAACAGTTTGTATGTTGCATGCCTAAAAGGGTGCTTACCAATTACCCCAAAATTATAATTGGAATACAAGATAATAAAAAAATACTTCCAATTCACAAGTGTATAAGACATATTTGCTCAATTCTAACACGAGGTACCTCTTCATAGACGAAGGCTGACATTGGCGATAATTATATCCCCTTATTGGTGACCCAGAAGTGATATGAATTTGTCAGTTTCGATGGATGGTCCATATTGAACAATTGATTTGCTCATAAAATAGCGCTAAAAAATCCCTGGATAATAAATAAATTAACAGCTTTAATCAACTAGTGATTCTATCACAAATGAAATTCTGGAAGGGAGTAATGCAGAATAACTACCACTAAAAATATTAAATACTAATTCACTAGTATATAAGACATAACTTGATTCAATCTTGAGGTACATTTTGACATATCGTTGACATTGTTAATAATTATATCCCTTAAAACAATATTCAATATGTCATAAAGAAATAACACAATATGAAATAACTAGGATTACTAAGAAAGGAATTATTCGAAGTTTGAATTTTTATCAAATAGATTATTTATGTTACTTCAGCGTTCTTGATTAACAATAGTCCAGCTGATAATAAATAGACCACCATAGAATAATTATTAGTGGTTCCCCCGAATCAACCAAAAGAGATATATTGTCTTGGTTTTTTGATTACTTGTTTTGATATGGGTGTTTGTTAGGAACTAGCACATTTCATCTTAATTGTGACATGACACATTCCCCTTATTGCAATATAAATTGCCTTATTTTAAAAGAAAATCAATGTGAGAGAAGTCTTCATTACATGATACACAAACCAGTAACTAAATTTGCTTAATTTAGACCACTGATGTTCAACACATGAGCTTTTGTAGAGCTAATTTCTCCTAGTATTATATAATGTAACAAAAATTCCTATACTTAATCATAATAACAATTTAATTCCATGATTCTTGTAACACTTTGAATTACACTTAATTTTCTGGTTAGTTACGTGATACTTCGTTATGAATTATCAACATTATGCAGTGCAAAATGTAAATAAATACTATTTCACATCAGAGGTTGAAAGCTTTAAATTTATTTATGAAGTAAAGCTAATTAAATAACGTCATTTTTCTTAAGAACATGATCAGAACACACATGAATTAACCCTTTGTGTACCAAATAATATTCATATTTTTAATTACCTTTTTTATAGAAAAATGGTTAACATTGGGATAATTTGCAAAATTTCAGCATCAGTTGGGAAAAAAACCAACAATCGCTTACAAGTAAGAGCATTATCACCTAGGATACACGTTGTAGTTATTGATCATCCAGAGAGTATTACGATGGATGAATTCATTGTAAATAAAACGTTTGCTCAAGTGCTGCAAGTTATATTAATTGAAATTCATCATTAAATTGAATTTATACATTCATTGTTTACAAAATAATTAAAAACATTTTTTGCCGATAATCTTTCAAACTAACCGCCTACTAACATTATTAGCGGTCACAGTGACTCTTTTTCCCGCAAAAAACTAACTGTGACTTAAAAATTTTTTGCAGGAAAAATCTTTAATTATATTTTTTTGAACTAAATTGTAAATAAAATTAATGATTTTTCGCAGTTTTGATTTCTTGATATCAAAATTCAAATTATTGCCTGGTTGATAGCTCATTTAGTGTTCAACAGTTTTTGTACGAAAATATGATTTCAGATTGAATATTTATTGCCAGTATTTAAACTTTTTGCACCTTTTGAGTTGTTATCTTGTATGAAACATATTAATCGACTAATGTTGGCAGTATTTTAAGTTTACTCATAATTCGAAATGTATGCATTAGGAAATTTTTGTAAATAACTTGAGTTAGATTTTAATTTCAATGATCTATAGTTCATAAATTTTCAATCAGTCTCTATGTATTTTAGGAGGGTTTAAATAAGATTTTAAATTGTCTTTTTGTAGAAAAAAAAACAATGTTTTTAAACATGTGGTATAATACTTGTGATATGTTTTTCAATTTTAAACATTGATTCCTTCATTAAGTTATTTTTTTTTATTTTACTTCTGAAGCTCTTCACTTTGTTTTTTACTTCGGTAAGAGAATTTTATTTTCCAATTCTATTCATATGGTAGTATTTACCAAACTAAATAAATTTATACTCCAGGTATGTTTACAGCCGGCGCTAAAATTATTGTCTGACATATTTTAAGATATGTGTATTCATCACTGCTTATTACTGTTATTTCAATTAATATTTCATTTGCTTTGTCGAAGGTCATAAATCATCCAATAGCTTTTTAAAACTATATTTGGGTTAATAATTCAATATAATTTTTCCGCCAAACGTTAGATGAATCTAATGAAAATTGAAGTTCAGAAATAAAAGTGTATTGGAAAGTTTATTAAAAGTTAAAGAGAATTTTTCTTTTCTTCCTATAGTTAATCATTAAGACATTTACTGTAAGATATCAATGAATAGATTAGTTTTCAAGTTCCACTGTGCATAAGTTAATACCAAATTATATTAAACACCCATAGGGTTATAAAGTTGTAATTTTTTTTTTTTTTAAACTTGAAAGGCGTATGGTTAAAACTGTCACTTTTAAAATCTAAATAATCATGTTAAACTATAATATTAAATGTGACTATGTCACAATATAACAATTATAATGTGAAATATATATAATGTTACTGAAACAGTCTTATTAAAGTGCTCATTATTTAATGTTTAAGTTACTTAAGATGTGGTTAAATGTAAGACATTTTGATCACATATGTTCAAATTATTGGAGACTAACTTCAATGAGGAAAATTTTCATTTTAAGCACTATTCAGAGACAGGCTAACCAAAAGGCAGAAATTGTCAAAATTCAGGGGGAGATTTCCGTATTGTGATCTGTAGCAGAATAATGCCAAGTTTAAGAAACTTTCGGGCAGTGGCCCGCGAGAAACTAAAAAAAAGCATCACACAAAGGGACCAACTCAAAAAGTATAACTCGTAGCACCTCCAAGCAAACATTTACATGTTTTTTTAAAAAAAATTTCAAGTTTAAAATTTATTTGGCATCTTGGCGATTGTAGTTGGCGTGACAGATCACAATACGTAAATATCCCCAAATTCAGCAGTGCCTGAATAAAAACTGATCACTAATGCTCATGAATTTTTTTTAGTTATTTCTAATGTGTGTGTTTAGTGTTGTATTAGTGAAATTTGCTGTCAAGATAATCTTGTCTCTTTTTTACAAATAGAATTTTTCTTTTGTATGTTGTTAATTTAATAAAAAATGCTCATGAATTTTTTTTAGTTATTTCTAATGTGTGTGTTTAGTGTTGTATTTAGTGAAATTTGCTGTCAAGATAATCTTGTCTCTTTTTTACAAATGGAATTTTTCTTTTGTATGTTGTTAATTTAATAAAAAAATTTCTATTTTGTATTTTCTTAATGAACCTAGGAATGAAAATTTTCAGTGAAACTAATCTCACCCATCATCAATTTTATTTTTTAAGCATGTTAATGATGCAAATTATGGAAGAATGTTTAAATATTTTTGTATACTTCTCAAAATTACTGTGAAATCATTTTTGCCTTTAATCAGCAAGTGAACTTGTTATGAGCTATCAAATGTTAAGAAGACCGATTGAATTAGATTATTTATTAATCCTCCTTCTTTTTTGCTTAAGTTTATATGTTTTAAATATCTAAACCATGATAAAAAATATTTTTTTTTTAAAAATCCTTTTTAAATTGTTTTATTTTAATTTAATATTTCTTTAAAAGAAAAACCTTTAAATCCAAATAAGAATGAGAAAGTTAGATAATTTTGAGAGCTAATGATAAAACATAATTTTTGATGAAAAATGAATAAATAAAATAACTATATTTTGTTTAAATTTTCTAATTTTTTAATTATTATTATGTATTTTAAAAACAAAGATTCTTTTATAGATTTAATTTTAATAATAAAGTGTTAGTTCTATGCTATATTTATTACAAAAGCACTGTACTGATAAATTTTTATATGATTTGATTAAAAGAGTTTTGGACAGAATAGTTTAAACCATTATGGCCAAAACCTTGCCAACCCTGGTTGTACCCCCTTTCTTTCTCTTGTTTCTTAATGAACTTAGTTTACAACTTAAAGGAGCTCACTTTAGAAATGATATTTTTCGTGAAGTCTATTTATTTAAGTAAGATTATTTGTTGCACTTTTATTTCTTATATCAACAATGTATAATATGTCAAGACAGATTTACTTGAAACTAATTCATTTTAAAAACTAAAAACATTTTTCCTTTTATTTTGAATTTTATAGTCTCAATATTTTAATTTTCCCCCTTTTTTAAATCATTACGATGTTAATTTACATATCGCTATTGTATACATGGCTTTTTCTTTTTAAATTTCAGCCAAAATGTCTAAGTCATTATTAGAAACCTCCATTCAACATTCAACCGTTAGTGTGCCGAAAGATGTTTTAGAACAAGTTTCTAAAATGGTTGATATCCAAATGCAGGCTGACAATTCTTTTCCAGAATTAGTGGACTGCCTTAAAATGGGAGGAGGTAAAGTATTTTATAGATGCTTTTTTTGTTTTGTTTTTTAAATATTTTTATAGTTTATAACTTTATAGTCTTTTAGGAACAACATTTTAAATAGGTTTTTATTGTATTTAACAATGAGCTGTCTGTACTTCACAGTCACTTTGTTTCTTATTGGGATAAAAAAAATTAATTGAAAAACAAACTTCTTATATTATAATTTTAAATTAATCTTACAGAACAATTATTAGCAAAGAAACAAACTCATCTTTGATTATTACTTTTTAAAGTTAGATTAACAGCACTCATAGTCAGACTAAAACACAAGGAACAGGCATCCTAAATATCCTAATCCTTTAAAAGATATCTGATATTTTGATATACATCTGATATTTATTGCATATTTTGATATATATTTTAATGTATATTTTAATATATATTTTATATTTTTAGTACAAAAGTTAACATTACTGCTGAAAATATTTTCAGACATTATGTAAATTTAACATAAAAGTTCATTTTATGTTGTTCACAATACATTTTAAATTTTTTATTTGTAACAAAATTTTAATCAAATCAAATTTTAGCAGCAAAAATAAATAAATAAAGCTTGTCAAAAATTAAAACATTTTTTACTGCCATCACCTACCTCAAATGTCAAGATTTTTTTACTTTAATAAAATTTTCAAAATGCCTCAAAAATGCCTTTTGAGTCAAAAAAATTTCTGTCCCTGAAAGTTAACAGATTGACTTGAACAAATGCAAGTTGGTTGCAAATAAGTTATTGTCATAAATTTTTTTAAATATTTAAATTAAACTTTTAAGATGCAAAATATTTATAAATTTTTTATGCAAGATACAGCAATAGCAAAAATAATAATAATGTCTGCATAATATAGAATATTGTTGACCAAATACTAACAAGCCACATCTGCTCACTGAACTGTTACTTTTGGTTAGATCTAGAGTGACCATCATGGGAGAGTATTTTTCTCTAGTTGAAAGTGGGGTGGTCGAAAACAGGTTCAGTCTAAGAATTGATTTTTCTAGGAAGGTTGTGAGTGGAAGCAAGACATGAAAGCGAGCTCGCTTTGGCAGTCCGAATCCACCTGAGTTAACATTAGATAGAAGCCAAATTCTCCGATCTTGTCACTGAGAAAGCAAAGAGAAAGACTGAATGAACTGAAACTGCAAGGTGACTTAAAAAAAAATTACAAAATAAAATCCAATCCGGAAGCTAAATAAAAGTCATTTGGCAAATAGTGATCTCACAAAGCAAAAGAGCTAAACTAGAGAAGCAGATTGCTGAGATTTTTATACTTCGTCAATTTTAACTTTTTATGCTTAATAATGGATCCAAGTTGTAAAGAGGTTTCAGAAAATTTTATCACGAGTCTGAGCTTGTCCAAGCCGAAACCTTTTTTCTCTAAAGAAGCCTCAACCTGTGGGAGCATGCACTGTCTAAATCTAGAGTTTTGTCTTGAGTTAAGCAGGCTCGTATAAAATGCACAGACAGAAAATTTGTCACAATCATAGAATTTTTTTTACTATTGCTAAAAAAGAAGGCTGCTTATTCAAAGAAAATTGTCTTTGTCAAATTAGAGAGAAAAAAGATTAATTTTTTCCGATGCAAAAGCAATTTAAAATTACATTCTCACATCGTGATTCCTATTTACACAATTTAAGATTGTGCTTCTTATTTACACGATTTTATATCAAATAAAACATTCTGTAGAAAAATGCTTCTTGTATAAACTTTTCTTCCTCAGGTGTTTTTTCAATAAATTAAAAAGTGCTTTTTCACATTTTTCAGATTTTTATTTTTTGTTACCAAACTCATCCCTCTGGTATGAATAAATATGGAGTTTTATAAAATGTAAACATTTTTAAAAAAATCCATTGATTTTTAAACTATTGGATTGTTTGGAAAGTAATTGAGTTTTTTTTAGGGTGCAATTTTCGTACAATGAATAAGTATTTTATTAAATTATATATTGGCCATTCTGGTCCAACACCTTTTGCCATCTTTCTGGTAGTAGCATGATTCCACGCTCATAAAATTTTTGGTCTTTGCTGGCAAAAAACTGATCCAGGTATTTTTGACCTCTTCATTTGAGGTAAAGGTTTTACAGTCCAAAAAATTTTGCAGTGACCAGAACAAATAATAATCCAAAGGCACCAGATCTGGAGAATATGCTGGGTGTGGCAGTGTATCCCATTCAAGCTGTAAAAGCTTTTGGCGAGTGACCAACCTTGTATGAGATCTCGCATTATCTTGGTGGAACACTATACCTTTTCTGTTGAAGTGCATCATTCAGTTTGTCCAGCTGACTTCCGAATTAAATGTTGTTTTATCCGGCAAAAGCTCAACAAGACAAAAAATAATTCCTTTAAAATCCCACCAAACAGACTGCATCACCTTTTTCTGATGGATATTGACTTTCGAAATGCTTTGAGCTGGTCCAGATTTTTTGCTTCATGCATTTTGACATTGTTATAGACAACGCAATTTTTGTCCCCAGTAATGATGCGCTTCCAGAATGGATCGTTTTCGTGACGTTTGAGAAGCGAATCACAGACGGTCAACGCGACGACACAAACACAAATTTCTCTCTGTGAGAACATGGGGAACCCATATAACAAGCTTCAAGGTTAAGTGCAGGCCTTTCAAGTAGTCATAAACAAGTGAATCCGATAAATTTAACCTCTCACCGATCTCACGTGTTGTTATTTGCCGATTTGCATCAACTAATACCTTTATTGTGTCTTTATCAGCTTCAACCAGCCTTCCAGAACGTAGTGCATCTTCGACATCGAAATTTTCCAAACCAGTTCTGGCGTACTGTCAACACATCTTCTCCATACGCATCGGTTAATTTCATTCTGGCATGAACAGCATTTTCACCTTTTCTATAGCAAAAATTTAAAATATGACTAAAATGCTGCTTATTGCTCTCCATATTTAAAAGGGCACCAACCAAAAACTACTGCATAGAATTAATTGAACTTTTTCACATACAAGCCTTGCAATATCAGCTCTCAAAACAAATAATGATAATGCAGGTTAAGTGTGACGTTGAGCTCGAAAAAATACAATTAAATCCTCTGTCTGAAAAACAAAATTACTTCCCGAACAACCCGATAGTTACAATAGTTAATCCATGTACTGAAAGTGTTTTTAATTGGGGTATTGTGTTCGCAGAAATTTTTTCATTATATCTAAGTCTGGAGTTCAGGTGTGATTCTGCAGTGTATAATAGAAATCTTGAGATGTCATGGAGATAATTTTGACTTGGAGTAAAAAATTTAAATATCAAAAATATCATGATTTTTAATGTAAAAAGAATATTGGATGTATTGCTTATTTGATATGATATGCATCCATTGATATTTATCAACGAACCTTGATAAGGAAATTCAGGTCAATGATGTCAGGGTATATAATATGATTATGAATACATATGGGTCATTCCTTACAAATTGGTTATTTGTAGGTTGTAACAATGAGAAAAAAATGTGTTAGAAATTTCTAATGTAATAAAATTAAAGATATTGGAGAAAGTACTGGTAACTGCTTTTAAAAATTAAGTGTTGCAGAAATATTTTTTAAACTTGTTTTTAAAAATATTAGAATCAATCCCTTGCAACTCAATACCCATAAATAAAAATGAAATATTTTTAAACTGTACTACAAGAGGAAATTATAATGGTTATTAATATTAAATTTTGGAAAATAAATGACAAAAGTGCTGTTCTTTCTCAATGTGGGGATGATAAATGAGGGAATGAAAAAAATCTTAATGGAGGAAATTGAAATATTTATTAATACATATAGTTTTTATTAAAGTGAGTGCTATTCTTTCTCAATGCAGGGGTGATAAATGAGGGAATGAAAAAATGAGTATCATTTGCTTCTGAAGTTTATTCTCATAAATAAAATTAAAATAACATTTTATATTCTTCAACTATCTTATTAGAGGAAATTGAAATACTTATTAATATATTTTTAAAAAAAATAGTCTAATTTCTTAAATTTAAATGTGAGAATGAGAGAGTGTTCTTTTAACTTTTATTGAATTTGCTTATCCAGTTTCATTTTATACTATGAAAATATATTATAATATATGTATAAAATATTTTATCAGAAGATTTCTTAGAACATTGTACATCATTTCTACCCAAATAATACAATCTATCTGAAACAATTCGAATCTCTTGTGAACAAAGGATTGATATGAGTTATGTGTTTCAAACTTTTTTGTTAAATAAAATATCCTTATGAAGAAAAGAAATTAGTACTTAGAATAACGCTAAAAATATTAATTTTAAAACATAAAAGTTGACCAAAAAGTATAGTTATTTCAATTCGAAATAATGTTTTTTATATTTGTTGGTGAATGTGATGCTACGTAATCTGATGAAAAGCTTTAGACAGGACGGTTTAAACCTTGGTGAACAAAGAGCACGGGGTGAGCTCAAATGATCAGAAAGTAGGGTCCGCAATCGTGGTTGCCGGGATAAAAGTGTTGAACCAAGCAGACTCCTCAATTCTGCTTTTAACATGTAAAGTCTATGGCGGGCTTGTCATACTTTGAATCGAATTTTCTTGTTTAAGAATCGGTGTAATCAATTAAAAAAAAAAATACTAATAATTTTTTCACTCTTTCCTATCCACGAAAATGTAGGTTAATTTTTTTTATCTTTATTACTTTTTGTAATATTGCCTTTGAAACACAAGTCACTTTCTACCTTTGAGTAAGGGAGGAAGGCAACTTCCACCCCCAAGTTCACTAATCTTCTCGGTGGGAGGTCTTGCTCCCTTTTGAAAATCTTTTTCTCTCTCTGTCCTTCTGAAGAACTGATATGGGGAACGCTTTAAAAACCGATAGCTTTCTTTTTAGTTATAAGCTTGTAATTTATTATGAAAATTATATTTGCTGATAATTCGTTCATTCTATATACATTTTATTTATTTAGTAGTAATAATTTTCTTGTTTTTATTCATTTTGAGAATGGAATTTATTTTTTAAATACATTATTCCCCTTTTTTTAAACTTTGTTTCTTGTTTTTTAAAGATGTTTCAGAATTAAAAAAATTAGCTGCTGAATAAAGTGAGATTAATTAAAATCGAATAAATGACGTAAAGATCTTCCAATATACTATAAAGCATCACAAAACTGCAGTTTTCCTTTTTTTTTAAAAAAATATATCGTACACTCATTTGTAGGTTTAAAAAAACATTTACATTAAAAAAATTTAAAAGGTTCCAATTTTTTCATTCCGTAAATAGTTTTAATTACTCCAATAGCTGGGATAGTATGTTTTTTCACGGTAAGGAAAAAAAATAGCTAGTACACAAGACCACGCATCATCCAAACATGAACAAGCACTTAACCCTGTTTTTAGGGCTTTAATGTAAATACACAAGAACACTAAAGTATTATGAAATTTTCATTTTAATCAGCAAATGAAGAAAAATATGAAAATACACGCATGTATTGTAAAATTCTTTAAAAAAAAAAGGAAGTAAAAGAACATTAGTGGTCATAATTAATATTCACGAGAGAAAAATACAAACGGTATCAAAATATAATGAATCGATGCTTAGGAACGCAACACTGAAAATATTGAAACCAGTTTGATTGCCAGATGAAATAGAAAGAATGAGAAATGTGATTATTATAAACACCACGAAATTTCATCACGATAAATTAAAAAATAAAAATAAGCTGTAATACTTAGAGTTAAGCTACTCTTTGTTACTTCAGACAGTCAAACTGGTTTTGATGTTTTCAGACCTGATTCCTTAGTTGATTCACTAGATTTTGAAACTATTAGTCTTTTTTTATTGCTTTAACATTAATCTGTAATTCCTAATTAATACACTTTTTAAAACTTTTTTTCGCAATATTATAAAAATATATATTAAGAGTAGGAATTATGCAATACCTTATGTATTTAATAACAAGAAATTTTTCGAATTCATATTAAAAGTGCGTAATGTAATTTTTATTCACACTTTTTCGCTCTTTTATATTGATAGAAAGAAGTATATAATCAATGTGTTATTTTAATTTCTCTTCCCTGACCCTCCTTTGCCATTCATGGAGAGTAGAAATTTCTGCACTGCAAACTTTAACTACTGTAGTTATGGTCAGTTAAAATATAAGAAAACTAGCACGCATTAGCATTACATGGAGGGGAAAAACACGAAAACTCCCCAGGGTTAGCCAGCATACCATCTATATGAATATATCTCTTAGATAAACATAATTTTTTTCGTTGAATCTCTTCCTGTTTAATTTTGTATACTGCAAATTCTTGCCTTAATGCATCAATATCTTTTTCTTTCTCAATAATTTGATTTTTCGTATTTTTTGTATTTGATAAAATTTTGTAAAGTAAACTTGTCTCAATCTGTTATGTTGTAAGTTTTAATGAAAATCAATAANCAAAAATTTCGTTATCGTACTTTTTATAAATTAATTTCGATTATTTTGATAAATCTTTATATTAATTACAGTGAGCAGTCTCACAAATCTATGTACTAAAATGTAAAATAACATAGAATTGTTTTATTTTGTTGTTTTTAATGATCCATCGAAATGATCTATTAGAAAAATAAATTTAAACTGTCACTTCAGCTTATTAGTCGAAAATGTTATAATTTATTTTTACAACAGAAATGATGGTATTTTTTATGAACCCTCTAAACTGAAATGAAAGAGTTACATCAATTTTCTTATAATTTTACTTCTACGTTTAGAAAATTATAAAGCTTATCAAAGATAGTTTTTAAGGAACTTCTTAGAAATAAGTTATACTTTTACAAGTTATTTATTTGTCCTTTTATTTACGGCATTTACACATAAAATGCGTTTATTACCCACTTTTACCATTATTCTATGTTATTATTATTATGGTTATAATAATTTTAAGTTAAAGGCTTAAAATTAAAAATGAAGTTCCTTTATTATATAAAGTAATCACACGATATTACTTGATAAAAATTATTTGATAAAATCTAATACCGTTGAACAACCAAAAGCTGATAAATAAAATATATTCGCTTTTTAATAAATAAGTTATATTTTCCTTTATTCCCTTAAAATAAACTTCATATAAAACTGCGCTCTCAAAATATGCAGTTGAATAAATTTTTACTAAATAACTGCTTTAGATCAATAAGGATTTTTTTTTTCTTGCTTTGATTGTTAAATAATATCTTTGGCGATAAGTTTTTAAAGTAACTATAATTAAGTAGAAGTAATGTAAGTAAAACTGATGAATATGAGTTTGTGGGTAAAGTTTTTAATGTATCCGAGCTAAGTTATTAGAATAAGTTAAGAGATATAATCGGAAACTAGATCTGTCTTAATATGATTTAAAATTTTGTGATCATTAAATCGAATAATTTTTAATTTTGATGTTTCAATTTGTGACAAACAACAAATATCCCCGGTTGTTTATTTTTTAAGATCGAATCATAATTCCAATTCGACGTTATTTATACAATAATAAATGTAGTTAGCAAAAGTAATATTTAAAATGAAGTTAGTTTCTAATGAAGGTTAATTTAGTGCATTCAAATTGCGAAATTCAAATATTTTAGTCTAAATCGAATTTACGCAGTGAGCAACCATATTTGCTTAAACAATGGATTAAATGTCAGCATAGTTTTTTAAATTGGTAGAATTTAATTAGTTTCAAAACGGTGTAACAATCTTTAAAAAAAATTGAAAAAAATTAATTAAAATTAAAAAAAGAAGGTTGAGATAAATATTTGTATTTGAATTGTAATTCAAAGAAAAAATTAAATAAGTAATAAAAAATAAAATCTTGAACTCAAGGTGTTACTTTAACATAAAAAGTTTTACAAATTTGCAAATCAATTTTTAAAAAAAACTAACAAACTTTATAATAAAATATAAATTTATTTTTAATGTAGCTACTTTATATGAATTACTTTCATATGACTACATAGTAAAATTTCATAAATTTAAGTACTCTGGTTATTATTAGTTCTCTAAATAATCAAATCAAAATATTAAACAATTCAAGATGTAATTAGAAAAAGTGCATGTTAAATAAAATGATAAAACCATTTTTAAAATAAATAAAGCCGTTCTAGAGTTTAAAAAAATATTTTTTAAGTTTTTCTTAGAAGGAGAAAAAGCATAATGTAGAGTGAGTATCTTCTGATATCTTTTGAAAGCTAGGTGACCCCCGCAGGTTGCAATTCCTCCCTTTCTGTGACAGTGGTTAGTCAATTAGTTTCGGATTACTTAACACCCCAGGAAGTACACAACCCCCTCCAAAAATGTCGGGGAGACAGTGGAACGGGTTTTGGTGGTGCTATATATTTCGTCCCTATTCGGGACGAACTCTTACTAAAGTTTAGAAGGGAAATGGAAAGGCCTTCTCAGAGTATCCTTTGGCCAAGGTTTAAACAATTGTCCTAAAACTTACCATCCCTAATTTTTATAAAACTGCCTTATAAATAGCTTTTTATTATAGCTTAATTTGATATAGCTTTCAACTCGATTTCCTGAGGATCTGATGTTATAATTTTCATCCTTGTTTTTTTTTTTTTTTAATAGTTGGGCAAAAATATTTAATAAAATAAAAAATATTAGCACTTTGCTAATTTTTAAGACAGTTGTGTTTGTATTTTGTAAGTGTATCATAATGAGGTAATTTGTTCTTTTATTAGAAATTTTCATTTAAACTCCGGATTAAAATAGTTTTTTTCTTTTCTTTTTTTGTACTCTAAATATTTTAAATGTATAATTCTACATTTTGTTTAAGCTTCATATAATTTGTATCTATATTTAAAAACTTTTTTTTAAAGCTACATTGCCTACTGTAAGTGGTTTAAATGATCAAGATTATCCTGGTGTTTCTGAACTTAGCATTAGTCTTCATTCTTTAGCTCAACTGTCGACTGTCAAAAGAATTCCGTTACCACCGGAATTAGTAGAACAATTTAGCTGTATCCTTTATTTTTCTTCCATTCTGAGCCATGTTTATTTTATGTATTTATGTGCATTAAGAATTTCAAAAGGTATTACTTATATCTTTGAGAATTTAAACAATTATTAGTCTTGTTATTAGAAATTTATTATCTTGTTGAATTTGTTTATCTTTCTTACCACGTCACATTGTATTTTTTTAAATTAATAAATTTAGCTTTTATAATTTTCTTCATTTATTTTTAAAACCGAATGTAACCTGTAATGGTTAAATTTTTAGAAATGACATATTGGAATTCTGATATCTATATATGTGATATTTTCATTTAATAGGTATATTTAAAAAATAATTTATTTTAAAAAAGTGTAATATAACAAAATAATGCTATTTACATTTCTGGTGACTTTGAAGAACTTTTAAATATTTTTCTTTAAATTTTAATTTTCCACAGGAATGGAAAATCTTATGCAATTTTTTTTTTGGACATCCATGTACCCATACTAAAAACTGTGAATCTTAACAAAATGACAGAAAAATTTCTCTTCAAGATAAATTTTGATCTAGTTTTTTAGATAAAATTCAGATTTTAGATAAAATTGTTTGGAAGATAAAATTAAGATTTTTTTTTCAGTTGCAGTTTAAAAACTTTAAAAAAAAAAAATCCTTGAAATAAAATATAGCTCAGTAAAGGCGGAAACTCATATAATCAGGGCTCTACTGTGTGTTATATGTATATTTATATATGTATGTGGAAAATTCTATATGTATTTAAACCTGATGACAAGTTTTAAGGAAATATGATAAGGCATCCCACTCTTTATTTTTTAATCTAGTAACATTTCATTTCCCCCTATTTTTGCAGCAAATGTTTTTATTTATTTTTTTTGTTCAATATGTTTAATATATTACTCACATTACTTGGACTCATCTATTGAAAATTTCTTATTTTTTGGCAACAAAAACAAAGTGTATGACTTTAATAAAAATTTAGTTATGCAAAGTAATTGCCAAATGGGATTATTTCCTGAAATCGGACGTGCCTGGTTGACAATTGATAGCAACATCTTTCTATGGTCATTTCACGATGGGTAAGTTGATTCATTTTTATGATTTGTATATTAAAATATTAAAAATTTTTCTTCTAGAATTCGGTTTAATGCAAGCACATGATTTAAGTCTATTATGTTTTCATCAGTAAATTTTTTTTTTTAAATTTCATGTTTAGCCACTGAAGAAAGTTGTCGTTTTTAAAACTCTAATTGTAATGATTATGTTTTAGTGGAATTATTTTTTTCTTCATTCATATTGTTTAGCTTTATATATGTTTCGTTTCTTTGGTATATTTCTTCTTAATTATAGTGAAAAAACATGTTAATAATTCATGAACATCGAATTCTTTTAAAAAATTATCATAAAATAGAAAAATGGGTTTAGTAATCACTTAAGTTTTCACAATTAAGTTTTATTAATATTCTGTGACTGAAGGAAACTGTTACCATGAATTTCTTCATACAGTTACAGTTTGTTTTTATTGGTAAGGTAAGTATTATAGTAAAGTTTTTTAATGATTGTAAGATATGAAATCGTAACGTCAATCTTTTTATGAATCAAATTTAATATTTGATTATAAAAATAGCCCATTTTTCTAATTTCATTTTCTACTGACGAGACCTTTTTATTAGACTTTAATTTTTCAATATATATGAATGAATGTATGCATACATTCATGCATGCATGAATGAATGAATGATTGATTCACAAGGGATAGTTAACTTTCACTTTCTGAATATTAATCTCCACTTTCTCTGAATGTTTATAACTGATGAACATTGAATGAACATTTTCCTGCACCAAAAAATCAGGTTTTGCCCATGACTTGCAAAATACTCAGGGATTCAAAATGTTTCAGAATAACACCACATTGTTTCCAGGTTATACGACGTGTACATTATTATTTTAACACATACTTATTACATAATTATAACTCTTAAATTAAGAAGGTTTAAAAATATGAATTAAAATTAAAAAACACTTTTGAATCCATTGATTAGATTAAAGGACATTAAAATAGATGGAAGGTTGTTATTATATATGAAGGTTGTCACATATAGAAGGGTTATTTTTTTTCAAGGTCTGATTGGTCGCTAAAGGAAAACTTTGGGGAAAAATTGCTAAGTCTGTGCGCAGACGTCTTGCGATGTGCCTTTAGTTGGCCAGGGTAAAGCGTGGATTAGCGGTTGTCATTTTTTAGTACGTATGGAGCACATAAACATGATTAGAAAAATAGAGGCTCCCACCAAATGTAAATTGAGTTCAGTCATTCAATTTCTGCATACTGAAGGAAGCAATGCAGCTGAAATTCATAGATAAATGAGTAAAGCGTGCGGAGAAGCGTTCATGAGTGATAGCAATGTGCGGAAATGCTGCAGGAACTTTGATGCTGGGCGCACAGATGTTCATGATGCAGCCGGCCAGGGAAGGAAGTCCAAACACTTGTTCACTCGATGAAAAGACGCTGTGAAGCTATCATAAAAAATAAGGGTTATCCTACTAAGTATTGATTGTGTAAGTATCACTTTAAAGTTGCTTATTATTAGTTGCATAACTTTTTTTGTAATACTGGTATTGTAATACTGTATTTATTATTAAATTATCTTCAATTCGATATATAAACGTTTGTATTTAAGCGAAAATTAATATATTCTACAAGTACACAAAGTTGAAAAACATGAAACTTTCAAAAAATGTCTACACTTTTGGCCACCACTGTATATAAAGAAAATGCACTTGAATTTAATAATATTTAATTATTTACTTTAGGAGTGACCTTGCATATTATGATGGCATCAAGGAAACAATTCTCTGTGTTGGATTAGTAAAACCAAAGCCTGGTATGTTTGTAGAAATGTATAATGTATTTATATTTCAAATTTATACTTTTAAACTATATATAATTTTAGAAGTAACAAGTCACCACATATCCAAAACTTTGTTTGCATTTTGTAAAATAATTTATTGTCATAAATGAATAGAAAATATACTTTTCCAAAGAGCTGAAGTAGATTTCATGAAGAGAAACTGAATTAATCTCTTTAAAATTATTTATATTTTAATTAAAAAAAAAAGGGGAGGAAATCATTTTTTTCTAAGTTCATAGTTTTTTATTATTTGGTTATGGCATATTTAAAAAGTTATTCGAAATATTTTTAAATTAAGGTTTTATTTTTTGTCTAGTTTTTTTAAATATATACTACAACTAAGTTGTGTGAAGTTTTATTCCAACTTTTGATAAAAGTATGGTCATCATTATTTTTTCCCCTTAGTACAGTTTGGATGATAATATTTAAATGTAAGAAGTGCTATATAATAAGGAAAATAAAAAAAATATGGTTTACTGTATTTTTCTTTGGAAAATAATCCTCAGTATGGTAACTTACCAGATAGGTAATAATTGTAAAAAGGTAAATATTTTTAATAAATTTTGAAAATATGTATGACAGATTTTATTGTCTGACTTTTATATTTGAGAATAAAATGTAATCTCTTTTTTTTTTTAAATCTGTAAGACAGTTGCTTGATTTATTATTGATTACTGTTGAAAAATATTTGTATTAGCTATGATAATATTTTTTTATATTAGTAATATTAATGATATTTTTGTAGATATATTTCAAGATTTTATTCATTACCTAATTTGTCTCACCACTCCTATTGAAATTGTTATTCTTGGAGTAAATTTTACAAGAAAAAATAAAGGTATGTAACTTATCAGTTTTCTGTTTTATTTCAATTTTTAGTCTTTACGAACTGTACCGAATTTTACTTTTTAGTCCTTGTATTATTTATAACTTTTGCAATCGATGGCATTTTGTTAACCAAAAGGCTACATGCATTTGGAATTTTTTACAGATTCCCCAGCTTTTGAAGAAATGCACATGCTTCCTGAAGCACTTTTTTCATATCCAACTGATAATGTGCATATGTGTACTTTTGAAGGAACTGAGAGTGGCAGAATTTTTCTGGGTGGTATAGATGGATCTATTTATGAATTTACCTATCAGGTTAGCCTATTGTTCATTTATAATGAATAATAATTTTTTTTTCTTTTAGTTTACTTTTATTAATGTTATTATTATTTTGAATTGTTGGGGAAAAGTCAAATTTTTTGTATTCAGACAAATCTTAATTCAGCTTTATTTTAACCTAATTATATTAAGAATCAGCTTTATTTTAACCTTTAGATGATATGATATAAAGAATAATTGACTTTTTTTTTTTACTTTAAGAAAAAAACTTAATAAGTAATATATATCTTTAGTGTTTTAATTTCTTTTTCAAAATTTTTTGCTGCTCTAAGTATTGATTATTATCAATACATATTTTAATTGATTTTTAATAATGATGAGCTTTTTATTTTAAACTTGGGGTGAAGTTAAAATTTTATCTTGATGCTCTTTACATTTCCTAAAGCTTTTTTTATCCATTTGTTATTTATTGAATAATTATTTTAAAACAGATTTATTAATATTTTTATTATTTAATTTATTTTGCATAAATTATTTATGTCTATATTTAATTTTTTGTTGTTTATTCTGTAAACTTATTATAGACTTGTCTTTAAAAAAAATTTTTTTTTTCAATTATATCATTTATTTATTATCTTTTAAATCTCTATTTTTATTTTTTTATTGTAGCCGCAAGATAGATGGTTTAGCAGAAAGTGTAGGAAAATTAACCACTCTAGTAGTGTTCTATCTTACATCGTACCATCTTTTATTAGTTTAGCATTTACATATGAAGGTAAATATTCTTTTAATCCATAATCAAAACTGATAAAAAGCTTGTCCTATTCTTCATTTGTATCTCCTATTTTGTAAGCTTCTTTATTCTAATATTTATTTTGTAGTTTTTTTTAAACTTCTACATGTTCTAAGCCGTAAAATGTTTTTTTATTTATATCATCTGTACTATCTGACTTATTAATACTTTTTCCAATGTTGAAAAAAGATGATATAAATTTGTAACTTCCGTATCAATCAAATAACCTTTCAATATAATCTGTACACAAACTTTAATTTATCTCTATTTCTTACCAAATAAAGAATTTGTACGAGTAATTCTTCACAGAATTGTGTGAAAACTAGATTTACTAATACTATTTTATACGTGCCACTGTGTAATTACAGTTGAACTCGTCTTTAACGAGAACTCGGATTTACCGAGGGAAACGAGAATATTTGTTTGGATCAATGTTAAGTCTATGGAACAAAAGTCGCTTTTAACGAGCAAGACCCGGTTTTAGAGAGCAGTATTTTCCTGTTTTGCAATCTTTTTTCTCATCTTTCTAGTATTTCCGTCTTATCTTTTTTTCAAAATGATAAGAAATGCGCGAAATCAAAGAAAACCGCGAACTGAAACTTAATTGCTCTTATCACTCTAATCTAAAGCATGGGAAAAGTCACGTGAGAGTAGGCGGTGACGAATCGATTTTGCCCCTTATCGGTCATGTATTTAACCCTTTAACGATCGGTTAATTTTCAAGAAAAGGGTCATAAAAGTGCCCATTTTTTTGTATTTGTAATACCAATTTGATTAGTGGTGAACTCTAGTTTAAAATAAACTATCTACAATCACCTTAAATATCCTGGTACTGCTATCTGGTGTGTAAAATGAGAAAGAAATGTTTTCCGGGCAAAAGAAATAAATTAGTTTTATTCTTATTGGCGCGTTACTACTGAACACTCCAGCCCGTCAATATCACGGGAGCGAGAAATATCTGGCGAAAACTCACCCCGTCGTTTTCACGGGAGTGAGAAGGAAGGGGTTAATTAAATTAATTTATTAAAAAGTATTTAGTTAAATTAATTAATGTAATTAAAGTAATTAAGTATTAAATTTTAAGTAAACTCAATCATTTGACCTCCCAAGCCCCCTTCCCTCTGGTTGCACGCCTGCCTTAAGGACCCGTTTATTACAAGCACTCGGATTTAACGAGTACAATGTTACGGTCCCTTTGTGCTCGTTATAAACGAGTTCGACTGTAGAAACATAATTTTTGATTAGAATTATAATTTATCAAATTTTTACATTTCTCTCCTACATTTTTAGAGCGCATTGACCAGATTCATTTTATTTTATAAATGGCTTTGAACGGTTGACCCAATTCTGAATTTACAACTATCAATGTGAAACTTGGTAACCGTGTGATTTTAAACCATACCCAGATGACAAGGGAACTCCTCGATCTAGCATTGGGGAAAACTGGCCATCGCGAAGGACTTTTTGATGGAGATGAAAACTACGGAAACCTCTAACGGTTACTCCAGCAGCAAGGAGACCTTAACCTATGATCCATCTACCACTGGGGATAATTTTACGTCACCGTTATGGTCAGTGTGCGCTGAGATCAGAATTCGTATCAAGCAATCACCCCTGAGTTTCAAACCTGGGTCATGATGGGAGCGATCACACTATTCCTGGATCACCATGGCTCACCAATTTTTTATTTATTTATTTTTTTTGTTACCGCAGGTGGTTTGCTTTTCTTTATGACAGTATGTTTGATTAAGAAATTAGATCATACTGTTGTGAGAAAAGGGAAGATTTGCATAAACCATGGTAATGGAGAGGGAAAAATCGCATAACCTTGAGGTGCCTATTCTAATTACAAAGAGTATAGCATTACATAAGAAAAGTGGCTCAAAGAAATAGAGCCAAAGTAACATCATAGAAGGATGCATGTTGATATTTATCTAAAATGCAGTCTATTATGTAGAACTGTATTCAGTGTGCGTAGCGTTTTTAAAAAGTTCTTAAAGAGGCTTATTTTTGATTTCTTTTTTAAAAGCCCTTAAAGGTGTTTTTTTTTTTAATTCAGGGTTTGTAGATAAAGTGCCTATGTATTTGTAGTGCCTATGTATATTATGTGATGCTATGATAAAGTGCCTAAAGTAGTCAATTTTCTCTGCAATATTTTTTAGAAACTATTTATTTTATCATGATTATGTAAAGTTTTTGAATTTTATTGATTTTATGTTTATAAATTAAGGACATTTAATGATAGAAAAAAAATAATTTTTATTACTGTACAGATCCTAATTGTAATTTTTTTTAATGTGCTTAAAACATTTTTTGAGTGCTTAAAAGGTGCTTATTTTTTGTTGAAAAATCTGGCCGCACACCCTGGTAATTTATTAGAGCAGAATGAGGTGGAAGAAAAGATGGTGGCCTGATTGAAAAGACAAAGAATTAATCTAATTAATTTGTATTCTGAAATTAGTTTAACATTTTATGTGATGAAATGTTGATGTTATATGCTATATTTTTTATTTTATTTCAAGAAACACTATCTTTTCTCAGTTAGTACATTTTTGGTTCAGATTCGGTTGATATTTTTACTCATTAATTTATTGAAGAATTAAGTTGTAAATTTATAATTAAGTTTCATTTTCATATTCGGTGTTTAGAAATAAAAATTAACTTATGAGTTTTTGTTTTATCTGACTTGTGTAATATATTTATTGCATTTTCTGGTTTGATGGTTATTTTTATGTTTTAATTTATTAGCTACTCAAACACGAAGTTATAACCACAAAATAAAGCTGCTGTTTCATGTTTGACACTAAAAAAATTTTTTATTAATTTTTTTGACTGATTTGTATCTTATAGATATTACAAGTTCAGCTCTGTTTGATATTTTTACTCATTAATTTTTGAAGAATTAAGTTGTAAATTTATAATTAAATTTCATTTTCATATTGGGTGTTCAGAAATAAAAATTAACTTATGAGTTTTTGTTTTATCTGACTTGTATATTAAATTTATTGCATTTTCTGGTTTGATTGTTGTTTTTATGTTTTAATTTATTAGCTAGTCAAGCATGAAGTTATAACATCAAAATAAAACTGCTGTTTCATGTTTGACATTAAAAATTTTTTTATCCTATAGCAAGGGTGGCGAACCTTTACGCACCAACGTGCCATTTTTTCTAAAAATTTGTTTAATGAGATCATAGACGTGCCGTCAAATAATTTTGACTTCGAGATTTTTGGGAAAATAATGATACAAAATAGTATCAACTCAAAACAATTTATTTACTATGAAAAAAAAACATTTTGCAATGTCTCAGTTATACTCGTAGTTCAACTTAAAATAACACCAGTCTGACTTCTGTTGTTGCGGATAGGATGACAAATAACTTATATTACGTTGTAAGATGTTAGTTTAAGCAGGACTGTTAATTTTTTTTGCTAGTCATTTATTGTTAGCTTGTTTTTTATGGTTATTAATTGTTTTTTGACATTAATTGTTAATTTTTTTGTCAATAATTGCCTAGTTTTTTTGCTCTTTGCGAATTTTAATTTAATTGTTAATATGCTTCATAGTGAACTTTGTGATCGGTGGCGTGCCCAAAATATTGTGTCGGGTGCCATAAACGGCACGCGTGCCATTGGTTCGCCATCCCTGTCCTATAGATATTACAAGTTCAGCTTTGTTTAATATTTTTACACATTAATTTATTTAAGAATGTGTGAAGTTATAAATTTTAAAATTAAACTGCATTTTCATATTTGTTTGATATAGTTATTTAATTTTTAAATCACTTTCTTTTCCTTATTCACAAAAGATGCTGTTCTTCAAATAGCAGTGGACAACACTAGAAATATTTTGTATGCTAGATTTGAAAAAAGTTCGATTCAGGTAAACTAACATTAAAATCTAATTTTTTTTCCTATTTTCTTTGTTACAAATACACATTTTAAAGTTTATATTCTTGTTCTAAGAAAAAAATTAAATTGCTATCTAAAGCTTACAAATAACTGCAGTTTTTCTTAATTTTATGAAATTATTTTTCTGTAGGTGTTTGATCTTGGAAAAGATGGTAAACAGATGAGTAAAGTCCATGTACTTCAGCAGGGCCAAATGGTTTCGCAAGCTGTGTCAGTGGCCACGTAAGCTAAAGCTGTGATTTTTATTTCCAAAAATTTTATTTTTTATTTATGTTTTCTATCTTATTAGCTAGTCTTGATTCACTTTTAGATTTTACAAAATTTAATTAGATTAATTAAAATTAGGTTTATGTTTAATAGTAAGACATGTATAACTAATTGTTTTAACTTATTTTTATTTCAACATGTTTAAATAAAAGGAATTTCGTTGATTTTTTTCCCAATTCATTGTTGATTGAATTGTCGATTTTTTTTCTTCATATTTCCTAATTTGATAATGTGGTTTTTTGAAGCAAATATAACTGAAATATCATTCTAACTATTTATTTCTTCTGAATTAAATTATGTTTTGTATTGTATTATAATTCAAATCTTTTTATTCACTAATTGGTTTCAGGACAATTGATAAAAAATACCTATATCCAATAATTCACATTAGTCCCATTGAAGCAACTGAATCCAAGCTAGTACATCTCGTTGCTATTACTCAATCAGGTGATTTTATTTTTATTCGGGTTTATAAGTTACTCACATCAACTGTATATCTTTTATGTGCAAAATAAATTAATTTTAGTAAATTCTTGTTTAGACTTTAAATCCTCATTTATAGTATGGACTGTAAAGTTAAAATGAATTTTAGCTAAAACAAATAATTTTTAAGTAAATTTTAATGTATCTTGTTTTTTAACTCTAATCTTATACTTTTTCAAGTACTTCTTTTATGGTTTGTCAAAATTAAATAGTTGATTGCTAATTCTTCATTTTTTCTTTGTTTGTTTACCCTTTACTTATTTCTTGTTCTAAGGTATAAAGATCTATTAAATAAGCTATAAAGAGTATTAAGATACATATTAAGGTAAATAAAAATGAAGGAGGATAAGTCCTTTTATTTTACCTTGAGGATTTTTATTTGGTTGCTATCATTCTGTCGGAGAGATTTGACTTGTACTCTAAATAAATATCTTTAAAATTTTTATGACAACCTTCTATCTATTTTAATATCCTTTAATCTAATCAATGGGTTCTAAAGTGTTTTTTTTATAATTTTAATTCAAGTTTATATTTTTACAAATCTTCTTAATTTAAGAGATTTATAATTATGTAATAAATATCTGTTAAAATAATAATGCACACTTCGTAAAACCTGGAAACAATGTGGTGTTATTCTGATAAATTTTCAATTCCTGAGTATTTTCCAAGACATGGGCAAAATTTTACTGAAATTTTATTTTGCCATTGAATAACTAGGGCAAAACCTGTTTTTTTTTTTTTTTTTTTTTTTTTTTTTTTTTTTTTTTAAATTCAGGAAAGGTGTAAGTTTTGAAAGTGGAGATTAATGCTAAGAAAGTTAACATTCATTAAACATTATATATATAATGAGTTTTGGGGGTTTAGGGAAAAACAGTCTTTTCAAAAATAAATAAATCCTTAGCCAAAAAAAAATTATGAATAGAAATATAAATCATGTATATATTATTTTACAAAATATTTATTAATACAAGTATAGTATTTGCAAGTGAGTGACTTATTGCACTTATTGAAATTATACATTGATTATTTTAATAGTGTGCTTATTAATTTCTTAATTATTAAGAAATGTAAACTTTAGATTTATATTTTTGTTGCCCTTTTGTTTGATAAATTACTAGTAGGCTAATACAATATTTAATCAGGTGTTCGACTTTACTACACGACAAATGGTGGTTTTGGAGATGACCGACCATACACTTTGTCTCTTCTTCATGTTCGACTACCACCTGGTTTTACTGCTAGTGCAATAGCGAGACCACTAAATGTGCATATGTCATATTATAAGAAAGGTAAGAGTTTTGCTACATCAATTTACATGAGTAATTAATCTTGCCATTTATGGAAATCTTTCATTTAAGTATTTTCTTTTTTTCAAGATGAGCTGAAATTATTTGTTATCTGTTTAGTTCAATTTTTATGAAATTAATGTTCTTTTTTTCAATTACTATTAAACTTTTTTTTAAAAAACTTGTTAGAAATGCATATTGTGTTAAATAATTTTGCAGTTAACCATTGTAACTGTTTTTAAAAGGTTTATGCTTTTGAAAAATCAAAGAAGTTTGAAAATTTTTACCTCTATACAATATTTTAAAAGATCTTACTAACTTTTTATCTAAGAATTAGGTTTTCACATATTAGGAATACATCTTAATGGTTTGACAGTCTTACCTAACCAGTAAGAAATAATATTTTAAGTTATGGAACTAAGGCTTTGAATTTTTGATCCACATAAAATGGGGTAGAAACTGCAATATGGAAATTAAGATAACAATAGTTTAAACAGTAGAGCAGTTAAAAATTTGAACCCCTCAGTGTTTTCACTTTTTTTGCATTTTTTTCTGCTTATTTTTCCATCAAATTAAGAACTTTTAACACACAATCATAAAGCTTTTTTTTCCGAAGAATAAAAATCCTTGAAATTTGTTTTAATTGATCTTTTTTAACGTATTTATTTTGATAAATATTTTTTTCAGGATTTACTTTGCTGGCATCATCACAGAATGAAGATAAAGATGTGGTATTTGCTACCTCAAATGATTCTTTTGCGTTTTATCCTCAGCTCATTGAAACTCATGTAAGCAATTACTTCTTTTGATTTGACTCTAGTTAACTGAATTTAAATAAATATTACTCTGTAGCTAATTGTTTTACAATAGACTGTGTACTCATCTCATAGACTATAGAAACTTGTTTATTTATATAATTCTTTTACCTAAGTTAAATAAATTATTTTATAACAGTAGGTTATATCATTTAAAGTTTTCATTCTTGAATGATAAATGTAATCAAATACAGATTTTGCTAAACTGTCAGGTGTTGAGTTGTCATTTAGATGAATGTTTAGTTATTTACGGTTGATAATTTAAAGTTTTGTAACTTACCTGTACTTACTTTGATGAAACTGTGTGAAATATGAAATTTTTTAAAATTTATTTGAAACAATATTTGTAAAGGAAGTTTTCATTGCTAAAATGTTCTCTTTGCACTCCGTAGTGTAAATTATATATAACATAATTTTCTTGCTGAGGACTACCTTACTTGTAGCATGTGAGGAATATATTATTCTATGTAATTTAAGTTTTTCTGAGCCATTCTAGATTTATTCCATATAAAATAGTATAAACTGGTATTATAAAAACTGGTTATATATAGTATATGAATAAAATGATTGCCAACTTTGATTGTTCAATAGGTACTATTTGATATTCACTTTTTATGCCATACTTTGTCACATCAAGAGAAAGTGGTTTGTGTCTAAAATAAATTTTTCTCAAGAATTAATTATTAATTTTTAAATTTAGTTATGGGAATATCATTTGTTAAAAGGAGCATCAAAAGGCAATGCTGTATAACTGAATGTAATTGCTGAAATTAAACTTCACATCTACAAATTTTGAATTTATGAGAATTGTTTTTACAAAAAGTTGCTTCCTCAAATATTATTTCATTAATTTTTTTTAGAGTACTTTCCTGCTGGATGGTCACACTTGCTGCATTGCTGAAGTCCCTACAAGATTACCCATTAAGCAAGAAATAACTTGTGATCCCCCTGCAATGGTCACTCAACACAAAGATCCAGCTAGACTATTTGTCTTTCTTTCAACACAGGTATCTCTCCTTCCACTAATGATACAATAATCTACAATATCCTTAAAAATTGTATTTCTTTAACTTTAAGTTGTAAGTTTTCCTGCATTAAAAACTGGTGTTCTTCATACTTTTCACTGGAAAAGTAATCAGAGGTCCATGTAAGAGAAATTTTTTTTATACAAACCCTTTGTGCAAAATATTTTACTATAAAACGGACCTTCTTTAAATTATTTTTATCATAAAAATTTATCCTTCATAAAGTATCTAATTTTCTTAAAACAGGCCTTTCTCAAGATTCTCCTATTAGAAACACTGTTCATTAATTCATAAATTTTAAAGCCGCAACTTCTTGAAAGAAAAGTTTGTTTTTTTTTGCTGAAAGAATAGTTTTTTATTTTCACTCATTTATAAAAAGTGGACTGAGGGAATGAATAGATTTTTTTTCAAATTCTCAAAAATAAGATCTACAAATTTTGTGCAAAATCATAAAAGAATGTCCCTAAAAATTCCGAAAAGTTTGAGCAGATTTTTCTCAAAAGTTACAGTTAGTGGTGCATATAAGGGCAATTTCAAGATTAAATTTTGCCCAACTCTTGAAGGGTTATATTACTTGTCTACTTTTGTTTAAAGCAATACTTTTTAAGTTTCTTTTTTAATTAAAATAATTTATTTTTTAAGCAATTGGTTTTATTGGCTGTATGGATTTTAAGACAACATTATTGTATTTCCTCTTTTTTATTGGTTAAATTTTAAGATGCAGTAAAAAGAATAAATTTGAGTAAAATAAAATAAACATTGTTTTAATTTAGGCTATTATGTTTGTTTTTAAAATTTTATTTCTTTAATTAATCTTTTTAATTTAATTCTTAACACTTCAAATTTCTTTTAGGGATGCTTCATGTTAAGAAAACCAAAACCTGTTGATCAATTGTGTCAACTTTTGATTGATAATAAAGGTCCTGATTCTGAGGCTGTCAAATCATTTTTTATGATTCACAAGGTATTATAAAGTTTATAACTTTTTCTTTTAAATTTTATTTCATGATTTAAAAAGCCTTATTTAAATGCAACAAATATAATAATAAAAGGACTTTTACTAGAAGTATCAGGTTTCTACAACATCTCACCTGGGTTTTTTTTCTATTTCAGATTTAGTGGTATAGTCTGTGATACATTATTTTTGTCAATAAATTTTTTAATGTTAATACGTTAAGATTTAAGATATTTTAAAATTATTAATGCATTAACTGTTAATGTTTTAATTTCTGGACTTCCTGTAAACAATTGTTAAAGTTTTTTTGTGAATTTTCTCTTTTTTAGGAAGCTCAAGCATGTGCAATGTGCGTGATTTTAGCGTGTTCTCAAAGTCTGCAAGAAAAACAAGTAAACAATTTGACTCAATTATTGTGTTGATACTTTTGGTGTTCTTTCAACCAATATTCTGTAGATAATAAATTCTTCTAATTAATTTAATAATTTGTAAAATTGCTAATACATTTTTAGTCATATTTACAAGGACTTTGAACTTAACGGGAAGCAATTACTTACAGTCTAACTTCATTAAGACAAATTCAAAGGGCCTCAAAATTCCTCTGGTATTAAACCAATAAAACTGCAAAATGCATTTTGGATGATTTTTAAAAATGAATCGCTAAAACAAAGATGCTGAAGAATTTGAATACCTGTAAATACATATTTTATTGTCATTAAGTGAATCAATGCAATGTACTATCTTCACTTTTCCAGTTCAGGAAGATCAATAATATTTTTTCAATGAAGAATGATGTCGCAGGCGCCTCAGGGAAATATTTGTTTTTATAAGATGCAATATTACTATGTCTTATGGACGAAGTTAGTTTTTATCTTCATATTAAAAGATGTAACTATTGTTTTCTTCGATAGCATAATGAGGGAGTTTTTCTTCCTTATCTTGAGTTAAATTTCATGTAAAGCATTTTCATCTTCACCAGGTTCAACTGTATATAGATTTTTGTAAATTATTTCATCTTAATTTTTTCATAAATTTTTTTAAATTTATACGTGGTAAAACATGTGTTATTGGACATTTATGTTTTCTATTTAGTTTATCAGTATGTTTTACTTTGTAATGGTATAGTACTAAATAAATATTCGTTTCATCTGTATCCTTTGTTGTAAAACTGGCTAGTCTCTCCAAAGTTATTTTATAATTAAACATAGCAGGAAAAGTGTTAGGAGATTCTAACTATTTTGGTTCAGCTACTTATGTTTTAAAATCTAACATCGTGATTCTTGCACTAATTAACCTTCTTTTAAGTTGTATACTTTTTAATTTAAAAAAAACTTCTCTTTGATTATTTTGAGTTTTTTTCTGCTAAACTCATTGTTTTTTATTTTATATATATATATATTTTGTAGTATATATGATAATGTTAAGTTTCTTGGAGACCTGCCAAATATAGAAAAATATTTCTTATTTTTGGAGTTTTATTGGGCAAATTTTTTTCTTTACTTGACCTTAAAGTTTTGCTTTTTTGGCTGGTTTTTATAATTCGCAAAGATGCAGAATAGAACTAAAAGCAATCTGTAATTGACTATTGATTTTACCACCTATTTGTATTTTTTTATAGGTGGCTGAATGGGCCAATCGAGCATTTTTGATGTATGGAGGAGAGCCTCATTATGCAGCAATACCTGCTGCTAATGCTTATGATTGTCCAGCCAGTCCTATTGGGTCACAGATGAATATGGGGCGTCCAAATACGACATATCCTGCAGGTAATTTTTGTCAAATTTTAGGTTCAAAACTTTCCTCTAGAGTTTTTGATAGTAATTATATTTTTACATACATTTTGTAGTGTGGGCTAGTACTCCTCAAAATCAGCAGCATATTGCCGGAACTTTGCCTCAGCCACAATTTTCAAGTAAGAGACAGTAAATTTATGATTTATTGACTTATAAATTTGCAGAAAGTGTTAAAAATTTATTTATATTATTTATATTACAATATTTTTTATTAATTTATAATTTTAAATTTTATTGACAAAAATTTCATGAAAATGAGGAAACAGAGTATCCTATTTAGAAGCATTTTAGTAGAATAAATTTACGCATAAAATATTGTGTTAACATGACATTCTTTAAAAAAAATCTATTGATTTTTTATGATTTTGTGAAAAATATTATAAATAAGATTTTAATTCCTTATTACTTTTTCGCATAAATTTTAAGACCTATGGCACTGTACAAATATCAGTTATGACATGTTTGAAAAACAATAAATTGTATGATAAATGAAATCAAAGCTTAACCCCTCCCCGGAGAATGCTGTAGGCTCTAAGTACGCGTACGTGACCTCTCAGCAAAAGTAAAAGAGGATTTAAAAATGATAAATGAAATATCATCAATCTTAATTCTAACTCTTGTTATTATAAATGAAATTTTAAAATGAATAAAGAACTTAATCATGAGGCAAACAATTTCAATAGAGCAGACAATTATTTCATATGTGAAAAATAAATTTAAATTAAGACTTTTTTTTCACTAATTAAAATAGAAAAAGTTATGTTCTTTCATCCCATTATTTTTTTTATTTTACATTTATTTATTATCTTTTTGTAGTTATATTAACTAAGAAGTTTCTAGTTAATTATGTACATACTGTTATAAATTACAGGGTTCGTTGTTGTCCTGGTTTTCAGCTTTTTGTACTGATTTTTGGTTGTCTTCACAATATCCCATTTTCAAACAATACTATGGCTGATTTTTAAAAATAGATTTGAAATATTGTTTCTTTTTAATCTAACATCTTATTTTAATTTGTTATGGTAGTAGAAATCACAAAATTTGATAGTTCTTGATAAGAGTACTGTCTGCCAATTATTTACATGGTTCAAGCATTCATGATATTAATTATTTCATGGTTCAGTCTTATCCACAGGTTTCATAGCTTACACCTTCAGAAATTTATTCATTCTATGAGAAAAAAGAAGAAAAAAAACTGAATTAACATTTTATTTTGTCAAATTTTTATGCTAATAAATTTAAGCTAATATGCTTATTTATTATATTAGAAAATGAGTTTTGGAAGGTAGAATCTTGTTTTTCCATAATTTTTAGTTTAGTTTTTGTTTATACATATCTTTTTAAAATTTAATCTTTAGGTGCATATAGTCCAGTCAAACCTATTATGACTCCAATGCAACAGCCAACTTCACCTGTTGCTTCTAGTTTTTCTCAACCTTCGGCAAATACCACTCTTGCTCCTACATCAGAAATAGTATACTCTGGAAAACATAATGGCCTGTATTTGTATTTTTCCAGATTAATAAGGTATATTATTTATTTTTTATTAATTCAAAGAAAATTTGAAACTTTTTTTTAAAAATCCAAAATGACTTTTTATTGTGTTTCTTTTCATGAAATATTGATAAGTTTTATACACATCTTGAAAATGCTAAATTATTGTTTAGAAAGCATAATGAAATTTTGTATAAAATTTGAACTAATATGAACACCCCCCCCCCCCCCCCCNCCCCCCCCCCCCCCCGAAGCTGACTGCTTCCTTTAGATAAATATGTAAGGTAAACGATAAAAATTTTTATTGAGCATTAAGCCTTCATTTTATTTTATTCAGCATCGTTAGCTTTTTTTATTGTCCTAAAGGATCGATTTTATTCTAGAGGAACCCCAACTATATAAATAGAGTATATGAGAACAATTGCGAAGGTATGAACCATTAAAAGACTACTTAAGCATTATAAAATTATTTATTTAAGGATACGATTTTCTTATTATTTTGTATTTAATAATCTTAAATTAGGTTTATTGTTTAGTAGTTGACTTTGCTGATTGATAGTTGCACCCAGTCTTGATTGAAATTTGGTTTTGGTGTGGGCATTAGATAAAAATCAATAACATGCTGAATATTTGTTCTAATGAGTACAGAAACCTTTTGACATTGAAAATAGTTATGAGAATATCACATTGAGTTAAGTTTATTTGAATTGAAAAGTGTGAGCAATATTTTTTATAAACTTATCTCCTTTTTACAATTTATTCAATATATTATTAGAGAAATTATATTGATTAAAATTTTTGCTATTTTTTTTTCTTTGTTCATGGGCCTTTCAATGTAATTTCAAAAATGCTACTGGAATATTAAATAATGTACTGTTGATTAAATCTAAATATAATTACAGGGTAAAAAAAAAACATTAGTGAGTGAAAAAAAAAGTCCTAACTCTCAGAATTCTTTTAACCCTTTCACTGAACCATACTTTTTGAGAACTGCTACATATTGCTTCCTTGTACATAGAGCCTTAATACTTGTACATTACGATACTGCATTTTGAAGGAGAATTTTTTTTAAAAATATGACCAAATTTTTAGATTTGCACCACATCAATACCACTTTTTGTTAATTTCAATTTGATTTTTCATTTTTATTTATCGTTTGGTCCACTACATTACCCCCCCCCCTAAAAAAAAGTGAAAAAAGATGTCCTAACTCTCAGAATTCTTTTAACCCTTTCACTGAACCATACTTTTTGAGAACTGCTACATATTGCTTCCTTGTACATGGAGCCTTAATACTTGTACATTACGTTACTGCATTTTGAAGGGGAATTTTTTTTTGAAAATATGACCGAATTTTTAGATTTGCACCACATCAATACCACTTTTTGTTAATTTCAATTTGATTTTTTATTTTTATTTATCGTTTGGTCCACTACCTTCCCCCCCCCCCCTACAAAAAATTTATAAAATGACGGGACGAAATAGATGTTCAAAAATAAAAGTATTTAGTTTAGGATTCAATTTATCTATAATTTTTTGTGAATTAAGTTTATCACATTTAAAAAAAAAATTACAAATAAAACTTTATAACCTTGATCCTTCTTTCATCTCTAAATAACGTTGCAATTAATCCAGCACTATGTGATTTCTAATGAAATGCTCCAACAGTTTAGTCAAAAAAAGATGGACCTTGAATTTATCCATTTATTTGGCTTTGACCACCGCTTCCTTATATATGTTTTAATTGTATCTAGTTTATAGAATAGGGTGCACCAAATGTCCTTATAGAAACAAATCATTTTGTCTCCACTCAAATAATGTTCCATTGCTCTCAGAAGTTAATATATATAATATTTTCAATTTCTATGCTGTTTTAAAAGGTACACAATGGCACCAAATTTTAGATTTTTCTTAAATCATGAAATTCAGTATTTTATCAAGAAATATAAAATACTGAATTATTTATTATTTTTTTCTAAAAATAATAAATTTCTTCATTATAAGTAAAAATTTTAACCAATATTTTTGAGAGATGAAAAATTAAGAGGCCTCTTTCCATGCTTTCTAGGTTAAATATTTAATTTCCATAGTGATATATTTTTATTTATTTTATAAAAAACCTTTGCTGATTATTTTGACATTTTACAACATTATATTCTTTAAGAAGATAAAAAAAAAAGCCTTTGTGGATTACTTGAAATAGCATTCAATAATTTTTGAAACTTACGAATTTTTTCTTAAAAATGTAAAGCAATAACATTATGCAATTTGAGGTTTCTAGTAAGTAATTTAAAATTACACATTTGTCTGTTTTTAGATTGTTCGAAATTTAATTTTATTGTTGTTTAAACTGATGAAAACAAATTTGGATGCCTTTAAAAAAAGTTTAAATATCTTAACACTAACTATGTAAAAACATTGACATTCATTAGAAATCTGAAATGAGGTAAATTTATAATACTAAACTATCTTTCCAACAATGAAGATTCTAGAACTGTATTTTTATAATTTTGATGGAAAAAATTACTTGGAAATCTATAATGTATCATATATTTCTCAAATCCTAGCTCCTTGTATTTCACATTTTTAAAAAATGCAGCCAAGTTTCGATAGACAGTTAAGCATGGTCAGGAGAGACCATATATGATTTTCTCTTTTTGCTCTAGTTCGCCATGTTAAAACTGAGTCAAGATGAAATTTTAAATTCACGAAAGGAAAATAATAAAAGCACCAATTTTTCAGGTCTATATGGAACATGAAATTAGTTTCTGAAATGAAAGAAGTTTCTGATACTAAAGTAAATATTTTTAATATTTATTTTTGATCTTTTTTGTTAAGTCGAGAAAATTTTGTATTATGGTTTTAATGCTCGTTTGTCGTTGTATTTTTCAGCTTGTAAGCAATATTACATCAGAAGAAATGGCACTTTATCTGCAACAGCTGTCTACATTAAAAGTATTCCTCAAAAACAATAGTCATGCTTTTAATAATCCCATTGAATCTACTGGGTAAGTTATTTCAGACTCATTATCTTATAATTGCCTAGCTTTTTTATGATAGGGTAAGATGTACAGTGAGCAAAAAAAGAACACGCTACAAGGATGAGTTTTTTTTCTTCTTCCTCTTAGTAAAATGAAAACTTTTTCAAATCCCTTAAAAATGCGATTTGTTTTTTTACTCATTTTCTTATCTATGTAAACACTTTATAAAATCGCACATTAAGTTCCATATTCTTGCAATTTGAAATTGTACATCGTGGTTCATATTCACATGGTTTAAAATTATGTATCGGCAAACAATGCATTCTTGCGATTTACGTGCATGATGCATTCATGCAATGCATCATGCGGCAAACAATGCATTCATGCATTATGATTCATATTCACACGATTTAAAAATCTGACATCAGGATTTGTATTCACACTATTTATGAATCACACTGAGATTCACATTTCACATTTTTTTCCCTTTAAAAAAAATTGTGCATCAATATTTCTTTTAATATATTTTTTGTCATCCATATTTATTTTAGTAAATATTTTATTATCAATATTTATTAATCTATATTGATAATTTTTATTCTAAGAATACATAATTCCTATGTCTACTTTTTTCTTGTTTAAATTTGAGGTATTTTTTAAATCATTCAAAAACGAGTTTTGCGCATAACATTTTTGGATTTTATTTTAGTCTTTTTTGGATTTTTATCAACTTATCCCAAGAACCTAATAACTTGAGTTATCACATACTAAGACTCAATCTTCATAGTTTGAGAGCCTATTCTTAAATACGCTCATTTTTTCGAACAATATTTTAAGTTACTAAATTCACAAATACACATATATCTTTGAATAAACGTACCTTTTTTTCTACTGCTGATTTGAATCAGTAATCCTCAAAGTAGACTTAATCTGGGAAATATGGTGTCAAAAGTTTGATCAGGAGAGGGGTTGAAAGTTTAATTTTAATGACAATTTCATTTTCTGCATATTTTTCCATGTTTTGAGAACTTTTTAAGCAGAAGAAAAATTTTTTTTTACACAATTGTAAAATTTTTTATTATTTTTAAGATGGTTACCAGCCTTGAATACTTGGAATTACCAGGAATTTTTTTTTATATTGTAAAAAACCTGGGAAAAAAATCCCTCTTTGTATTTTCCCCTTGTATTTCTTTACTTTTCTATTTTAAGATCCATTATACCCACTTTTTTTTAGATGGAAATTTATTGCAAAATGGTTGAAATATCATTTACTTCAATACTTTGCTTGCATCAAAACTTAATCCATTATAACCCTGTTAAACTAGATAACAACGCCATGTGAAACTCCCCCATAGCTGTAAATAAAAAGAAAAACCTTTGACCTCTTTGAGACTTGGGACTATGCAATTTATGAAAGGCAAAAACTCTGGTGGGGTGGAAGAAGGGGTTAAGATATTTGCTGTTTATAAAATCAAGGGGTTTTCTTCTAGTTTGTAGGCTGAATCTATTTATTGTTCAAACTCATTCTGATGCTTTGGGGATTTTTTTTTTTTGACAAAATGTTTTAGTATTTTTAACTTTATAAAGTATTTATAAAATTTTAGTATTTTTAACTCTATAATCAAAAGTTATTTGGTTATCATTTAATAACTATAGATTTTATGTTGAACTTTTTCTGAAAGCTTCTGTACTCCCTTCCAATTACGTTAATAACATTTAATTTTACTGTTTTGTTGGTAAATATTTGACTTTCAATTCAAAATTCAAATTAAGCAGTTAATAAAAAAAGAGCAAAAAAAACAACAACAGAAATTTGTAATTGTAGCTTACATTCTAGAGATATTTCTGAAACTGTTAAAACAGGGTTGCCACTCTACAGGGAGAACAGGGAAAACCTGGAAAATACAGGGAATTTAAAAATCACCTAAAATAACAGGGAAAATGCAGGGAATTTTGAATTTTTCTTTACAAACTGGGAAAATACAGGGAATTTTGTTTTTTTTAATTTTGATCTTTTAAAAAATGGTGACCACTCAAAGCGTAATCTATGGGATATTTAACCATGATATTTCAGCTATTCTAAACTCTTTCATTTACTATAGTATTATTTAAGTATGTTCAGCTGTTTTTCCAGCAATTGAAACTAATAAATATAGTTAGTCCAATATAGCTCACACAAAAGCACAGTAATTGTTGTTTCCTCTTAATATATTGCGTATAACATGTACAGGGAAAACACAGGGAATTTTTTTTTCCAGATTTGAGTGGCAACCCTGTAAAAGGAGGGGGGGGGGAAACTAAGGAATGGATGGGAAACATGTTAAATGATACATGAATACATGATAAACATAGATTATAAAATTTTTTATTGATATGTATTTATTCGGTAGAAGAAAGAGCTGGAATTCTTTAAATATTTTGATTTCAAATAAAAAATTTTGAAACAAAGAATAAAATTTCAAGAAATTTGACAATTTTGCATTTGCGACATTCATTTTTGTGTACTGAAACAAACGCCCTTAAAATGCCAGTTCAAAACAAATAACAATAACATTTGATTTTAGATATTCGTTTAAAGAAAATATGATAAATGAATTTTATAATATGGGTTTGTCACTGTTTGTATGAAATACGGTGAAATGGCTCTAAATTTAAATGTAAATAAATTTTTAAATAGCAACAAAGAAATATATTTAAAAATTTTTGTTGCATAATCGCCTGGAATTATTATATTTTTTTTGCTCAATAACAATTAGTTGAACAATACTTGCTCAAGGTTTTAGATCACTCTGTATTTGCAATTTCAACACTGAATTCAAACACTGTGCGAAACTACTTAAAATTTTAAAGTAACACATTGAAACATTTTTATTCAATAAAGTCAATATGTTCTACAAAATCTAAACATATTATTTTCCCCACAGCTATTTTAGTTTTTAAAAAATTAATGTGTAACAAAACATCATAAATTTAAATAATAAAAACAAATCTTGCTAGGTTGTTGTTATAAATTTAATCTAAATATTTTTTCAAGATTGTATATTTAAAAATACAGTGGTACCTCGAGATACGAGTGCCCCAACATACGAGTTATTTGAGATACGAGCTGTTGTGTGAACGAATTTTTGTTTTGAGATACGAGGTACGGTCATGAAAGCCCTTCTCGTCCTCGACAATGCTCCTGCTCACCCACCGAACCTCAAACATGACATTCTCGAAGAGTTCAAGTTTATAAAGATTCCCTCTCTACCACCTAACACCACTCCTATCCTGCAGCCCATGGATCAGCAGGTGATTTCTAATTTTAAAAAGCTGTACACTAAGCAACTGTTCCGGCGCTGCTTAAAGGTGACAGAGAACACCAACCTCAGCCTTCGAGAGTACTGGAATGACCACTTTAACATCGTAATATGCCTCAGAATTATTGATCAGGCCTGGCTGAGTGTTACAATGAGGATCTTGACCTCTGCATGGAAGAAGCTGTGGCCTGAGTGAGTCTGTAGCTGAAAATTGTGCTGTCGCATGAGTCTATAGCTAAGACTGTAGCTTCGAAGGATTTGAACCCGAAGTGCCAGTGGAGGAAGAGATTACTGGGAATCCATGGGGTCTCTGGGAAAATCCATGGACCTGGTGAAGGGTGAGAAAGACGTGAACAAGCTCGACGAGGTGCACTCTCAGGAACTGACGATCGAGGAATTACAAGAGTTACAGTCGCAGCAGCATTCGGGGGTTCTGCAAGAAATTGGTTTCAAGGAAGAGCCAGAGGTGGAGGAGGTTATCTCTACAAGTGAGATAAAAGAGTTCTTGGGAATATGGGAGAGAATTTCACAGTTCGTGTAAAAGAAACACCCCGAAAAAGTTGCAACTGGTCGTACATCAGAGCTATTTAATGACACTTGCCTAACTCATTTCTGCAACATTCTGAATAGGAGGAAGAAACAAACCTCCTTGGACAGTTTTTTTTAAATCTGGCTAAAAAAGCAAAGACCGGTGAAGAGAAAAGCAGTGACTAAAATTAAGCATACAGTAGCATTTAAGTTCTATGTAAGTTGCATTTAAGTGACAAAAATACAAATATGTATGTACACTTTATAAAACCAGTTTTTTTTTTTTTTTTTGCTTTACATTCTCTTATTATGTTTTTATACAATATTTGTCATTTATAAATAAATTTTTCTTATTCAAAAACACGTAACAAAAACAATTGGGGGTAGCATTTTTGGGGCTGGAACGGATTAATGGCATTTCAATTAATTTCAATGGGGAAAATTGCTTTGAGATACGAGCAAATTGACATACGAGCAAGGTTACGGAACGAATTAAACTCGTATCTCGAGGTATCACTGTATNTAAAAAGAAAAAAAAAAAAAACATGATGACCTGAAAAATGTTTCTAGAAAAAATCAAGGAAATTTGAAACCTGATATGAGTGGCCCCTCTGATTTTTTTTTCCTAATAATAGTTAAATATTTTGTGTTGTAGGGTATACAAATTTTTCATGATTTTGTGGAATGTTATTTCATATGGCAAAGTACAACATTATAACAAAATCTGAATTGTTCATAAAAATCAAATTTTAAGTATACGTCTTTTTTGAAATATAACCTTTTACACTGTAGTTGCATTTTTTTAAAGTTTTTTTGTTTGTTTATTTTTAGTTTAGCTAAATATGGTATGTCTAGATTTTTTAAGAAAAATGATCAGGCTTCATCGGGAGACGCTGTTGCATTAGGCTACAAAACAAAAACTCAAAGTATGTTCATTTTATTTTTAAGAAAATTATACTTTCTATAAATTGTGATAATGGTTTCTCTTTTATTACACATTTCTTTTATTTTATTATTATGCTTTTATTTATTATTTTAATGTATTTAGTTAGATTTTTTTTTTTTTTTTACTGCAGATGAAGCTGAATTACAAGAACGAATATCACTAGCAAATTTTCAAAAGCTTGTAAATCACACTTACGAAATGTTAGCATTATGGAAAATACTTTGTGATCACCAATTTCATGCCATTCTGAACTATCTTACCCCGGTAATAAATCTAATCTTATGATTTTTTACTTTGTTAAATTGATATGAAATGCTCTGTTCCTTCTTAAAGGAGAAAATAAAATAAAATTTCGTTAATTAGTTTCAGTTTATGCAGGATTGTATTTAAATCTTATATTTTGAAGCACTTCATGAATTAAATCCCTTTATTTAATCTAAAATTCTTTTTTAATCATTGGGGAAATAAGAAAATACAGCTCGCAAGGGTAGAATTTAGGAAAATTTAATTGCTGGTCCTAAGGACCAGTAAGTAAAAGATATTACAAATCTGAGTCCATTTTTACAGATCTGTGTACATGTCTTTACTTTTCTTTTTTTTTTTTTAATACAGTAAGTTCAACTGAAAAATTACCATTCAGAAGGTGCAATGTCAGAATGATGGTGAAATAGGCTATTTTGTAATAAAAATGTAGACCGAATCATAAAACTATTTATCAAAGTATCATAACATCCCTTTACATTGATTGTTAGTCGGAAGGGCCGCAGGAGTGTTTGTGGTCTGCTTGTGGTTCCTGAAATTTGGAGGCTCCTTTTGCAAAATATTGTGCAGATTTTTTTTCTAAAAAAAAGAAGAAAAAAACTTTTCTTTTTAAAAAATTTCAATAAATTATTTAAAAGTTTCATACCTTTGTTGTTATTACAAGAGATATAGACGAAGAGAGTTCTAAATAAAGACTAAAAGCTTCCTCAAGTTTGATACTTAAAATTATTTTTAAACACCCTTTCTATGTTACATTTTCAAATGTACAAGCTAGAAAGCTGCACACTAAATGCAGCACTGTAAAGCTGCATCATAAGAAGTAAGAATTTTATATGCTTTTAATACAAACTGTATTTGTGTTAAGTAAAGTTATCTATGTAGACTATGTTCTTTAGGACCACTTTCCCCCTCACTCTCTGTTATAGTAACTGGTTGTAACAATTAAAGCTTAAAATCATAATTTTAATATTTTAGTTTCTTTTTAAATAATTTTCTGGAAAATTATTTAAAAAACAAGTGTAGGTCAAAAGGCAATATTCCTGTGTTTCTGAAACAACAGAACCAGCAAATGATTTAAGCCATTACTTTATTAGATTATCTGACATTATATTTGCAGATCTGTGAAATAAATGTAATATGTGAAACTAGATCCAAATCATAAATGTAAAATAGTTTTTTTCTTTTCAGATGCAACTTGATCTGTTAAAACTGCTTACATTTAAAGATTTCGTCATAGATGGAAGAGAGGTGTGTTCATTAATATCAATATACTTTGTGTGGAAGTTATGATATATGTATATATCAGAGTTTGTATGCATCGGGAAAATCAGAAATTCTCAAGGAAAATGAGATTTGAAAAGACAGTTAATGAAAACCTAATTTTACTCCAAAACGTCGGAGATATCAGGGAGTTTAAGATCTTATCAAATAGTGGAATTCTAATCTTTGCTTCTTAATACAATAATTTGCAATAGAGGAATTTAAAAAAAAAAAAAAAATTCTAGACCAACTATTATTAAGTATATCCTTAAGATTCTTCTATTAGTCTAGAGTGTTGTCGTTTAGATTTCTGAGTTTAGGAAAGTTTCTTCCTTGTAAGTACTGAAATGTTAGTTTGTTTTTTTAATCCACTTTTGTTTCCAAATATTTGTTATTCTTAATTCATTAGGACAAATTATTGTTTTATAATTTCGAATAATGCAATAATTATTACGAACAAAATTATTTTTATCGTCTGCTATATTTACTTGATAATTAAGAAAACAATATAGTTTAATTAAATATATTCTTATATCTCTAAATATATATCAGAGATGTGGTATCATTTGAAAGTTACACCTGATAGTGTGTATACATAGCTGCCAACCTCATTTTACCCGCCCGATAGCTAGCATTTTCTTTAAGCTGGTCAAAAGTTTTTTTTAAAAATTGTTTCCATTTCTTGTTTTAAAAATAGTTGAGAATTGCATTTTTATGCTCATATAGTGGATTTATAAATAGATAATTAATTAAAATCCTCTTCTTTTATGATTATATTAGTACGCAGTTGCGAGTTTTCTGCCTTTTTAGGCATTTCTTCTGCATTTTTTTTTTTGTCCATTTTCTGCATTTTATAACTAGATGTTGGCAGCTATGTATATATTTTTTTTATTGCTTTTTACTTTCTTTTAATATAGTTACTATTTAGTATTAACTGTTATTTGATTAAATAAAGATGTTTTTTTAATAAATAACGTTTTTGTCAATTTTTCAAAATAATGAAAGAGCATCTTTGAAATAATAAAAAATAAATTGAAAATTGGTCAAAAAAAGCTAATCTTATTAATAATATTTTAAACAATTAATGCTTTTAAAAATCTTTACTAAGTTAAAATAATAATTTTTACTTATAATTAATTGTTGATATTTTCATGTCAGAATTTTATTTAAGTTGATTTATCTTTAATTTTTTTTTAAACTTTAGCTCTCAGTATGCTTAACAAATGCATTAATAAATCTATATTTGGAGGATAATGCTAGTACTGGTTCAATCAGCCAACGTTTGAGAGAACTATGTCCTTCCATCTACCGTGTTGAAGATGCTACTGTGTCTAAGGTAATTTATGAATTTGGTGAAGATTTTAAATAATTTTATCTAAAATGTGAGTTGTTATCCTAAAATAAGGTGCAAAAATATTTGTTCAAGAACTATTTTCTTTGATTTATGAGAATTTATTTTTTGTTTGCTTTGCCCATGACAGCAGTAATCCTGTAGCATGACAGATTTTCTATTAATAAAGCTTACAAACTGTCAAGAAAGAGAAGCAAAAAATTTATTTTTAACTTTTAAACTTTTTAACTCTACTTAATTATTTTTTTTCCAGCTCATTAATAAAAGTTGCTTGTGATGTGCAAGTAACTATACAAGCTTAAATTGATATCAATAATTTTAATTTTCTTTGATTAACTTGCATTTTAATAAAAAAAAAATTAATAAAAGATAAATTACATTTCTGTTCTTGTTAATTTTCAACTTTTTTGGCCCTTTCTTTACAAGTTGCATAAATATTTATTCAATTTTAAGTACTATATATATATATAGAAAGAAAAGAAAATTAAATTACGTGTAAATTTTTAGCTACATAATTTTTTTTGTATGATTTTTATTTGTCATATATGCAAATTTTGCTATATAAAGATTAATTTAAGCCTAATTTTTTACAATAATAATTTCTGTCGGTGTTAGCGTTGCGCACAAATTGAATAAGATAGTACTGCAGATTCAATGCATTATTATATTAAATACAAAATATAACTAGGGTTTTGTCCTAACTTACTTAAATAAATCTGTTTTCTCTTAATACGTAATGATAGAAAATGTTTCTCTTAATAAAGATACAAAGAAAATTAAAAAGGCACGTTTGACTTCAAGAATATAGATTATTATTAACTGAAAATCACCTAGCATTTTATTTGCTAAAATTTTAGGTATAGATTTGTAGTTATGTCTCTCGCATGTTATGTAAATTCTTATCATTCAAACCCTAGACTAAAAGAAAATATCAAACATTAAATATCAATTCAAATTACCATTATATAATTTGATACAATAAAAAAACCAACCCTTCTCAATTTTTTTGTAAACTAAACTTCTTATTTAAAAAAAAAAGGAAAAGCATAGCATGAATGGCTAATTTCTATTTAATTATGGAAATTTTTTTAGGCTCACGAGATGGTTCTGAATGCTAAAAGCATAGCAAATAAAGTAGACAAGGAGCAACAACTGTTTGAAGCTTTGAAAGTGAGTGATTTATTTTTATTATTCTAACTTCTAAATGTTTATATGCATATTTGGTTGTGAAATATGAAATGTCAGATTTTTTATTGTAAATTTAATTATGCATTATTGTAAATTTAAATAAATAATTTTTTAAGAACTATTTTATTAATCAAAGTTAAAAAACCATCACAATTAACATAGTTTTACCAACATGTTACTAGTTTTTGGCTACCACTTTCATAAAAATTTGGCTTGTGTCAATATTAGATTGAAAGTCATTTTTGATCTGCTCTAGATAGGTGAATTATTTATCATGGGGTTAAGTTGTCCGAATGTTTCAGAAAGTAATAATGAGTTGGAGATATGTCTGGTGGATGTGATGAACCTCTTATTTTAATTTGGCCAACTTGTTTACGATGATCAATGAAACATGTTTTGTCCGTTATCATGAAGCAAAATGGGTTTTTTTTTTGGATCAGTGATGGCTGCATTTGAAGTAATTTTTGATGTATAGCTTCAATTTCTACACAGTACTTCTCTGCTGATATTGTTTTGCCAGTATTTAAAATGAATTATTCAGGCCATAGACTACTAAATAATAAACATTACCTTTTTAGGATGTAGTGGTGCTTTTGGATTTTCATCTGCATTTAGCCATTGCGCTGAACAATGCTTATTATCATTAAGAATCCATTTTTCATCAAGTGTGATTTTCTATTTTCAAAAATGTTCTCTTTTATTTCTTAGGAGCAACGAGCTGCAGATTTCAAAACTATGTCAAAATCAGTGTCTGTCAAAATCTGTTTCTTAAATCAGTGTCTTAAAACATGCAAAAAATAAATGCATAAAACTTTTAGTGTGATAAGTAGATCACATAATAAGCTTAGATAATATATAGTTTTTATACAACTCATAACATTTATTAAAAAAAAAAAAAAAAAAAGATTAGCAAAATTGCTTTAAAAAAATCCGGCACTTCATATGTATCAACCTGATATGTTTATAGATATAAGTTAAAAATATCGAGAAAATATAATAAAGATTAATGAAAAAGAAGCAGAAAAATTATTAAAATAGAATTTTTTTCTGAAATATGAAGAAAATATGTATATATATTAAAATGCTGGAAAAATAGTGAACAGATATCTCTTCCTCAACTCGTATGATTTTAGCCTCAAAAAGAAGTGCGGAAATAATCAAGTGAGCTGAAGAGATTATATCTTTTCAATATTTTGTTTTCTGGTTTTTTAATATATATATTTAATATTTAGAAGTATTTTTTTTTTAATAATTTTTTTCTCTTTTCATTTATCTTTATATTTTTAACTTTTTTATGAGTTTTATATAATTACAGCTTATGTGCAGTAAATAAAACTTTTGAGTTTTCTTCGCTTTTCTGTTTTATCTTTTTTGTCTTTATTCCTATACATACTAACAACATTTCGGAATCTTCTAACGCAAAAATATTATCAATTGCAGCTTTGCAAATCTATTGCACCTTGTGTTGATCTTGGCTTGATGTCTGGACTCTTCAGAAGTGTTGGATTTTATGATGGTATCGTCGATCTCTGTCTCTGCTGTGCTCAACGTCTGGATCCTCAAGGCTTAGCTCTGCATTATTATAAAAATGGTGAACCTAAAGATGATCACCAAGGTTTTCAAGCATTCATTAATAGGTTTGTTTGACAAACAACTATATTTGTATGTTGCAAAAATTTTATACTCCTTTTAGTTAAAATTGGCAACTCTAGGTCAGACAGCAACGCTACTATTTTTATTCGCACTGCATTTACGAAACGTCTATAACTCATAATTGTATATTATTATAATATCCTACTGGTGTGGGGAAAAGGGGAAGTTTATGAATACCATGGTAATGGAGAGGGTGATCTTGTAACCTTCAAATGCTTATTCTGTTTGCAAAGACTATAATTTTTGATAGATCATGTGAAAATAGAATATGATAACTTTCTCATTCTTGTCTTTTGCAAGAAAAGAAGTTTAATAGTTGATAAAATAAAAATTATGTATATATATTATAAAGTTGATATATAGTTGTTACTCAGTGTAATCACTCGTCAACCTGATTAAAATGGTCATTGCAAAGTTAGACTGTTATAATGATAGTGACAAGAAAGATAGATTATTTACTTCTAAAATAATTACAATATTTCTTTTCAAAGTTGGTTGTTAAAAGGTCAACAATAAAAAAATGGGTCATCATTAAATATTTTAAATAAAGATTTAGGTTGTAGCATATTTATATTTTTTATTTGTATGCATAAATTCGCTAATATTTATTAATTAGAAAGTAGTTTACAATTTACCATACCTACTGTTGTTTAGTGTACAATTTTATGTTGTTCTCAAGGAACCATAGGTGTAAGAAAGTTAATGGAGGTATCAAAAACAAATTTATGCTAACACAATCTTTTTTTTAAACCAAAAAATGCTGTTTATATGCAATAAAGAAATTTGTTAAATTATAAATTAAATTATTAATATTTCTAACACATTAAGGGATTCAGGTAATATAACAAAAAAAGGCACCTTTACTTTATGAGTATTCTTTCCTTTTGCAACATATTCCAAATTGTAACAAACAGTCATTTTTTTTAATTGTTTATTGTAACTGGATTTATTTCAATTTATACCACCAGTGATAGGAGGCAGTAGTTACTATAGATGATTCCATTTTATTTCGTAAAGAAATCTTAATTTCAAAATGTTATAGGCTATAAGAGACATTTTTTATGTTTCATTGATCAGAATTAACAACAAGAATCAGTAATTTTTACTTTTTATTGATCTATTTTTCAGGAGGAACTGTTACAAGCACGTCATTGATGCAATGAATGAATTAGTATCACAAAGTATGTCACATCCTCAATCGCCAAGCGTGCCAAAGGTTCCGGGACCACCTCCTTCTAGAGATCCTAACCTGTTAGCTCCGGAAGCTGCCAAAGTATATGTTAGTATAACTCATCCTTATTACTTTCTATTTTTATAACCGTCATTGAACAGCTTGAGGCTGATTGTGCTCCGGGAAAAATCTGGATATCTTCTGATTTTTTTGCTAACAGTGATCCGAAAGTTTCCTTTGATCAAAGGTCCAGGCGTTTCAAGAAATCATTGATCACAGAAGTTTCCGGAAATCAAATTTTCAAAGGTGGAACTTAAAAACACAGTTTATTTTATTTGTTTGTAAGGAATAGCCAGATACTTTATAAGCTTATATTCATGATTAATATTCATTTTTATCAGTAAATAGATGTAATAATCATAAACTCAAGAAAGAAAGATATTTGTAAATTTTAATTACTTCTCCAGGTCATCGTAGGTATGTGTAAATGGTATAGGTATATGTAAAATTTGAAATGTATTTTAGGTAAACTAAGAAATATTGAGAAAAAGGATAAAAACCTTGTTTAATTTTTTTTCTAATTTTTCAATTTAAACTGTTTCTTTTTTTTCCAAGAAATTTTCCAGAATTTTGACTTGGGCTCACAATCACCTCTGACAGCTGACTCAATTTCTGTGTGTGTATATATATAATATGGATTTGAAGTTCATTGATCATGTGGCATTATATTACATTTTCAATATCAATGAAAGCTGAATAATATCTGTATTTTTTGTTTAGAAATAGTTCATTCAATGTACTATGTATATGGAAATCCAGGTAGATAAGTATAAAATAATAGTGTTCTGAAACAAAACAATATGTCTCATCTGGTAATGCATTTTGATTACAGAAAAGTTTGTTGATGCATGAATACTCTATCGGTTCTTTTAAAGTTTATTTTTATTATAAAAAAATTGTTTTATATCTGCATTACCTTAAAATAATAAAACACATTTATCTGTTTTTCGAAAAAAATCGTGTTACATAGCGAGGATCTCTTTCACTTTTTGGTTTAGAACCTTGTCTTACTATCAGTCCACTATTTTTAAGACTTTTCTAATGTTAGATATAAAGGTATTTAACTAAAAGCTTCAATTCTGACTATTATGTAAGAAGTACAAAAAACTCTTGAGCAACATAAAATGAAAGTTAATATCCTTCATCTAAAAGCTCTTTAGTGAAGTAAATAATATAAGATAATTAAGATTTCAAATTATGCAAGACCAAATCTTTTAAAATTGTGGCCGAAAATAACATTGACTTTTGTATGCATAACCTGGCATAGGTCATTTCCAGCTATTAAATTAGTCAAAAGTAGCAAGGATACAAAGTTTTATTGTGGATGATACATTGTAGCTTGTGTGTTAATGTATTCATGAACTAATCTTAGTTATTCTGAATATTAAACACGCTAAAATAATTTATATACTTTATCTCTCTATTATTTTTTTATGTATCACCCTGTATTGTATTAAAATTATATTTGTTTTTACCGTCTGTGCAAATCACTAAATGATAATTGATTTTTATCAAAATAAAGGTTGCAGTATGGAAACTTTTTATCAGTCTTTTTGTTCGGTAACAAAATAAAAATCTATTACATTAAAGTTACTTTCTAAGCAGGATAGATTTTAAGTATATATATTTATTTATTTTTTAAATTTATGTATATTTTTATGGTTAATCCATACCCTCCAACTGCTACGGAATTTCCGTAGTTGCTACGGAAATTGGAGGTAAACTACGGAGCTACGGGTGAATAGTAAAATACTACGGANCATGGGTTTACGACTACTTACGTTCAACTCCGTAGCCTTGTAATTTTGAACCAATCCAGAAGACAAGGAAACTCCTGGATCAGTACCCCCAGAGGTATTGATTTGTTGTGGGAACATGGAGGACTTTGAGACTCGACAGATTTAACGTGTATCAGTCACCATTTACTACACGGGGAGTCTTCGGCCGGCGAGGATCGAACCCACGACCTCTTGGATTTACTTTATTATTTATCTATTTTTCAGGAGGAACTGTTACAAGCACGTCATTGATGCAATGAGTGAATTAGTATCACAAAGTATGTCACATCCTCAATCGCCAAGCGTGCCAAAGGTTCCGGGACCACCTCCTTCTAGAGATCCTAACCTGTTAGCTCCAGAAGCTGCCAAAGTATATGTTAGTATAACTCATCCTTATTACTTTCTATTTTTATTTTATAACCGTCATTGAACAGCTTGAGGTTGATTGTGCTGCGGAAAAAATCTGGATTTCCGGATTTTTTGTTAACAGTGATCCGAAAGTTTCCTTTGATTAAAGGTCCAGGCGTTTCAAAAAATCATTGATCACTGAGTTTCTGAAAAAAAATCTTGAGTTTCCAGAAATGAAATTTTCAAAGGTGGAACTTAAAAACACAGTTTATTTTATTTGTTTGTAAGGGAGAACCAGATACTTTATAAGCTTATATTCATGATTAATATTCATTTTTATCAGTAAATTGATGTTATAATCATAAACTCAAGAAAGAAAGATATTTGTAAATTTTAATTGCTTCTCCAGGTCATCGTAGGTATGTGTAAATGGTATAGGTATATGTAAAATTTGAAATGTATTTTAGGTAAGCTAAGAAATTTTGAGAAAAAGGATAAAAACCTTGTTTAAATTTTTTTTCTAATTTTTCAAATGAAAGCTGAATAAAATCTGTATTTTTAGTTTAGAAATAGTTCATTCAATTAATACTATGTATATGGAAATCCAGGTAGATAAGTATAAAATAATAGTGTTCTGAAACAAAACAATATGTCTCATCTGGTAATGCATTTTGATAACAGAAAAGTTTGTTGATGCATGAATACTCTATCGGTTCTTTTAAAGTTTATTTTTTATTATAAAAAATTTGTTTTATATTTGCATTACCTTAAAAATAATAAAACACATTTATCTATTTTTCGAAAAAAATCTTGTTGCATAGCGAGGATCTATTTCTTTCACTTTTTTATTTAGAACCATGTCTTACTATCAGTCCACTATATTTAAGACTTTTCTCATGTTTCTAATTTTAGATGTAACAGTATTTAACTAAAAGCTNAACAATTGAATGAATGTAGAGAAAAAGTTGTGGAGAGTTCACTTTTTGCATTTTACTGAGATGTTATATTATTTTTCTTTGAAATTTGTATAAATGTACAATAAACTTTCATTTGCAATTTAATAATTTTATATCCTTAGAAAAGTGTACCTTCCTGTATGTGAATTAAAATTGTACTATCTAAATAACATGATTTTTTAAAAGTCTATGGCATTTTAATGTTTTAAAAAATTTTTCAATGTGAAATAAAATTTTACGCTTGTTTCAAAATCTATTATCTTATATTTATCAACTGCTTTTTGAAATTATAAGTGAATATAATTAAGTATCAATATGAGCATAGCAAATATTGCGGGATGCCGTAAATGTGTGTTGCGAGAGTGCTACTGATGGCCAGGTAGGCAAAGTTGGAGGGTATGGTTAATCTGATACTACTTGTTCAAGGTAATGCCACTGCTGTTAATTAGTAGTAATGTTTTTATAATTTCCCTCATTTTTAAAAAGAAAAACAAATTTGTTTCTCAAATTTTTAAAATTTGACACCCACCCTCAGAAAAGTTAAGAATTTAAAATAATATTTTTAGGCGGTAGATTCTTTCATTTATTTTCATGTGTGAAATTAATTATTTTTATTTTTTAGTCAGAGAGAATATTTGACATGGCTCTGAAAACAGATGATGAATTGTTTCATGTTGCCTTGTATGACTGGCTAATTGAAAACAATGACTCAGATTATTTGCTCTATGTAAGTTCTTCAAACTTCCTTTAATATTTTAATTGTCAATTGTTATGATTTTAGGTAAGATTTTTCAGAGTGATTGTTGAAGAGCAAAATGGAAGCATTAAAGTTGTTTGCAATTTTAGAATTTTGTGAAGCTTTTACACATTCAAAGCATAACTATTAGGGTTCTTTTATGTTTTTTAAATACTGTTTGTTGGTGGTGGTAAAAATAGTTTTAAATCAAATTTTTCAAGCACAGAGTAATATATTAAAGCATAAAATTAACTACTAGAAAATTTTGTATATAAATATCACGAAAGTTGGAAAATATTTAATGATAATTCTTGAATTTTCTTTCTTTTTTTTTCTTTTCAAATCAAATATCAATTTTATTTCTGCGTATTATTTTTAGGTTTATGAAACCTATTATGTTCAATAAAAAATCATTTATTTCATTTTTAATAAATTTCGGCTTTTGGAATATTAATTGACGAACCCACATGAGAAACCTTTTACTAAACTTGTTAAAAAAAGTAATTTCAACACCTTTTTTTAAAAAAGCTTTAAATAATTTTCAAAAGTTAAATGCTTTGATGCAATAGTGAAGATAATTTTATAATCAATGGTGAAAATCATTTTTCTTTAATTGAATATTTATGTTATACATATTTTCCATGATTTCAAATGATTTATTAATCAATTTTAAGAATGTTTTTAGAAGTAAAACAATCTGCATGCTTTTTAAACTAATCTTCAAAAGGTCATTAAATTTTCCAGGGCAGGTGTAAGGAGAAAAAATGCTTTACTGCGCTCCGATTTTAACACTAATTCGAGATTATATATATGTAATATGAGAGTGCCATATTGAGATCACATGGATGTAATCTTGGGCAGCAAGAATCGAGAAAAGATCATTTAATTTATGATATTGTGGGTTGTGAAGGTAGAATCATGTGATTGCAGTAGTAGTAGTTAGTTATGCCAAGAAAACATAGTTTTAGAAAAGATTTTTATTTTCTGTAAATTGCTAAGAATTTAATTGGATACAGATTTTGCTACACTCCTAATAATTTTAAATTTTCAGCATGCAGTTTAAATATTACACAATTCTCTTCACTATTTTTATGTTTTAAAATGATGCAATTCAAATTATTTCTGTACACTAACATGAAATGGAATATTTTATACTTTGACTCTTGTTAAACATTGTTGAATTTAGTTTACTTAAGTTTATAAATTTCAATTCTGTAATTCCATTTCTATAGCTTCCAGAGCTGTCCACATGGTATTTTTTACCAAAAGTTTTACAGTTAATAATACTCGGACTAATTACCAAATGTTGTTTTTTCTATTACATTTTACTCCATATACATTTTTCTACCTTTGTACTTAGAGATTTCTGCATCTTATAAGTTTTGCACAGCAGCTAAACAAAATGAAATGCAAAGTTGATCTCCAAAAATAGTGCTACACTATCAAATATTTTAGTATATGGATATATTAAAGTTTGCTTTTAGCTAAAATATCTGCTTAATGAATATTTTGTTTAAATTTGTTGTGTTTTGTCAAATAATATAGATAAAATAATAAAAGTTGCTTGAACCGAAATTGTCTGCATATGACTAGTATTTTTTACTAGTCACATGCATATTTTTTTTAAACCTCAATTATTTTTTCTTTAACAAACTTGTTCATGATTTATTGTCCTCAAATTAACAAATGACTGAATGGACTGAAAAAACTACACTACCAGGGATGTCAAATACTTGTTACAACAATCAAGAAGTTATTTTAGATTACATTGTCTTGTCAAGTAGCATTAAATTTTCTTAGTTATTTTTAATATGTAATGTGCTGTTTTTAGTAGTCCATTTTTTTTCTTTGTTTCAGTCATAATTGTTTCAATAGGTTTTTAGTTGTCTAATATCAGTTTTTTCCCCCTTTTTCAGATAAAATCTCATTTCCTTGAAGATTATTTAAAGCGTCGTGCTTCAGTTCGACCAGACAATTTATACATCTTGAATTTACTCTGGAAATATTATGAAAAAAATCAGAATTTTTCTGCTGCGGCTAGGGTTCTTGCTAAATTATCTGATAAACATGGGTAAATATAAGATTTCTGTTCTAATAATTTACTTCTGATTATTTCGGAATTAACCTTCATTTATTATTATAACAATAATTTGTAAACAAAATCTCACCAAATAATATAAATAAACTAAGTATGTATTCTAAAATTTTTTGCGCCATGTTATTATTATGAGCTCAAAAAATCTTAAAGTTCTTAACTTATAAAACTGTAATTAAGGCCCTTAAAGATATTTTTTTTTATACTGCTTGCTTTTAATTTTTGGTGTTTAACTTTCCTTAGATTTTCCTTTCGTTAATTTTCTTGCATGTTATGATGCAAATTTTTTTGGCATCTTGGTAAATTTTTATTTATTATTTCTTATATATGAAATTCATTGTCAAATTAAATATGTACCTAAAATAAATACTAAAAAGATGAACAGAAGCTATTTTTGTTTTGAATGGATTAAGAAAGTTAAATAGTAAAACTAACATTATTTAAACTCAGTGTTTTGGTAAGTGAGTTCGTTTTTGAATTAAAAAAATTTTCATAAAATTTTTAAATTTTCATACAATTTTTTAGCATTACAATCATGAAAACATTGTCTAAAATTGAGTTAGTGATTTGAAGAAGAAAAAAATTATCAAAATCAATTGGCTTGAGTATTTAAATTAGTATTATTAATAAAGAATAAAGCAAGTGGCATTTATTGTAATAATTAAGCATACATGTTTGACCAAGGTGGGGGAAAAAACCGAAATCAGTGAAAGATTGGTAATCAGTTTTAAGAGTTACAGGGAAGCACAAATACAAAAAAAAAACATTATATTTTACCAAGGATAGTTTACTTTGTGCTATGTAGACTAAGACAGAAAACAATGTGAATAAAACACAAATGAAAGTATATAAATGGGCATACTATACAAGGTTGGCAAGTTTCTGCCGAGGTGGTTAAAACCACTGGTAGAAACCGGTTAAAACTGCATGGCAGAAACCCTTTTCTGCCACTTCTGTGGCAGAAATTCAGAAATCGACATAAAAGTAAGTACTCAGATTAGCATACAATGGATAATTCTTAGAAAAAACAATTAAATGCTAAACAAAGTACAATTTATTTACAAAATTAGCACCACTCAAAATCAAATATTAACATTGTTTGCACTCTGCAGTAATCTATAGCAAAAGGCAAGTTTTGATGCAGTTTCTAAACCTAAACAATTTCTCAATTTGCTATGCACGAATGAGAAATTTGAGAAGATTCTCTCAAGTTCAGTAGAACTAGCAGGCATTGCCTTTAAGGAAAAAGCAAGATTTGTGAAACTTTCTTCCTCTATTGCATACTTTTTAAAACTGGACCATCATCAGGGGTCTGTCCAGGCCGAATTTACTACCGTTTAGCGGTACCTTCACAAATTCAACTTTAGGAAAAACGGTAGTTTCACAAAATACTTTTTGTTAAAATTTCATTTTTGTATCCCTTAAGAAACGATAAATCCATATTCTTGTGTTGATTTTTTAATATAATTTTTAATTTTTCACAAATTACGTCTAAATTTTCACAAAATAGGTACCTGTCAGAAAAACCTAGACAGACCCCTGATCATGTAGCAGCTGGGGTAGTTGTCAAAACTTAACTGGAAAAATAAGTTTCAGGAAATGGGGCCAATTTGTTTTGCAAAGCTATGACAATAATATATATTTACAAACAATGAATTAAAAAGTTCTTTACAGTTACATGGAGTTACATTTTTGGGTTTACTTAAACAAAATGTCATTGAGCAATTACTAGAACTAATATAGAAGTTTTTTTTAGTTTTTACCGGTTATAACCAATTACTTCCACTGGCCTGGCAAAAGCCAGTGTCTGCCAGCAAAAAGCCAACCTTGATACTATAGTTTCAGTTCTATAAACATGAACCTTCCTCAGTGTCAATGTGTCAGTAGAAAAGTGAAGGGACATACAACACTAAAGTGGCTTAACTGATAGGGACAAAGGAACAAGGAAATAACTAGGGATAGATAAGAAACAGGAGTGAGGTGATTTGACAGGAACCCTACTGTAGGACAAATTTCATTAAAATAAACTTCCAAATATTGGGAAGTGGTGGCGTTCATTTGAAGTTTAGGCACGGAGGAAGGTTCTTGTTTATATAACTGAAATTATAGTATGTTCATTAATGTGCTGTCATCATTTGGGCTTTATCTTAATTCAAGTTGTTTTTTGATTTAATCTACAATATATTCTCTGAAAAATGTAGCACAAATAATAAAATAAAAGCATAGAAAAGAGCTGAAAAATTTCTTTTTTCATCTCTTAATTAAAGAATTTTTCATTTGCTAGTATTTTCATTAACCAGTGCATTAGCTGGTATTACTTCTTAATTGCTTCCAGCAATGTTTTTTTTTTTAAGCAGGTGGCCAACTAAGCCTTTTCTTTCTTTTTAATTCTCATTGCACTTTTATGGATTTAAGTAAGATTTGGTATACTTCTCACTTTATAATATAATGACTATCTTTAAATTATTTTCTTACCATTTTGTTGTTGATCTACTCCCTTAAATATGCTATCATTTATATATTATCTTAGAATCTTGCTAGGAGTGCTAATTACTGTTAATGTAAGCGAAGAATTAAAAAAAAAAACGAAAATCTCTGATTTTAAAAAAAATTTCTCGTAAGTATTTTTGCATTGCGAAATATTTGCGGTTTTTATGTAAAATCGCATCGATATTTTGCGGATATCATCGAGGAAATTCGCTCCACAACAAACTTGCTACCTTAACTATAATTGAACTTTTATTAATATTTTTATTCTGATCTATCTGGTTTTTATTCTAAATTAATAAAAAAATATATTAATATCTACAAGACAATACAAAACTATATTTAAAACTATAAATTATACTTTACAAAACTATATTTAAAATGTAATATAGGTTTTGTATTTTCTTGATTATAACAATTCTTGCGTGTGAAATATTTCAAATACTACTATGAAATAGTTATCATGTGATTTATTTTTGGTAAAATTTATTATATTTTTCTCCTTTATGTTATCAACTTAGATTAAAATGATTTTTCTTTTTTTATGAATCAAATATGCAATCATTGCTGTTTCATTACATTTTCTTAGCTATTGTTTTGAATGTATGATTCTTTAAGAAAAATGCATTTCCCTTATAGTATCACATTTCATTTTCTGTTTTATATGAAACATTTTATAGTTTAATTTGTTTTTTGAAAGCAAGTTATTTTCAACAGTAACAACCAATTATAATACTGTTACCTCTTACAGAGTTGAAATCAGTTTATCTCAAAGAATTGAGTATTTATCTCGAGCTATAATGTGTGTAAAAGGTTCTGAAATGAGAATATCTACTAGTGGAGAAGGAGAATTCTTACATGAATTAGAAGAAAAAATGGAAGTAAGTTTTTATTTATAAGCAATTATTCTTTTATGAGCATTCATAATGTGCTCTTGAAAAATTTTTTCATTGAATTATATTCTGTTCTTTGCTATTAATCCATCTTGTGTGGTGAAAACCTAACTATACTTTTTCTTCATGGCATGACACTTTTATAGTAAAGTTGTTGTTTTTTTTTTTGACAATGTAGAAACTTTTATAAGATTTCTTCTTGATAGTTTGTAAAATAGCTTTAATGATATTGCTGCAAGCCTTTTAATTACAAAATTATTTCTGATATTTACTGCTTGATATTTTGCTATTGAAATTATTTATATAAACTAAATTATACATAATTTAGTTAATTATAAGCTGAATGAAGTTCAATGAAAAATCACAAAGTAATTTTTGTTAATCAAATTAATATTTATTATTGATTTGAATGCAAACATAAGTAAAACTGTCTACTATTATAATTTCACTATAGTTCTAGTATATTATAATTTTTGAAAGTAACTCAATTAAATTTTGGCCAGCTTCTTATGTTCATGTGGTAAAGTAAATAAATGTGTATAATTGCACGTGTATCAACAAATTTCATATCTGAATTCTGCACCTTGCTCACTTTCTTTCTGTGCAGTCCTCAATTTAAATGCCTCATCCCTAAATATGCTTCTGACTGTACAACAATAGCTTTGCCAGATTTGCATTATAACTAAAGTAGGCCAATATACTTCTAAATCCCTATTCCTCATATCAGTTGTGAGTTTCTTTTCTCAAAAATTTTAGCAGGTTTAAACTTTGTAAAATTTTGGTAAAAATTGTTCCCTTTTTTTACTGAATTTTTTTTTCCTTCTGTTTTTGAAGGAAAATAATATCTTTGAAAATCTATCAGTAATGTATATATCATGGAGTACAGAGTGGGTGGCAATGACATTCTTACTTTAGAAAATTATTGTAAAAATAGACATGTATTCTTACTTTAGAAAATGTTTTGCTATTGCTTTAGCATTGCCAATAATTTCAGTTTCGAACGTATTTTGAGATGGCTGAAGCAAAGAAAAGTGCATAAAAAACTACTCCATATATTTTACTAATATTTTGTTATAAACGTTAGTTTTGTCAAACCATAAAAAGTTTAAAAAAAGTAATTTTTTTCTTTTGTGCTAAAAATTCAAGCAATGGTTCTAAAGTGTTTATTTTGTGTAATTATTTATCTGTTAATTTTGAATGATGCTAATTATAACATTATTGTTTTTAGGTTGCACGTATTCAACTACAGATTTTGGAGGCTCTACAACAAAAGAGGACTGAGGCTTTACAAAGAAAAATGCCCATTAATCAGAAAGCTGTTGATGATGCTATTAATGCACTCAACTCCAATTTTCTCCCCATACAAGATGTATGTTTTTTTTAAAAAAATATTTTAAGATTAAATATAGTATTAGAATTAAATGCGTGTTACACTATTTATTGTTTTCTGTATGTTCCAGTTATATGAAAATTATGCGGAGAGATACAATCTTCCGGAATGCTCATTAGCAATTATGGAATGCGGAGCAGTTGATGACGATCATCGTATTAAATCATTATGGCAAAGGATTATTGAGAAAGGTATAGTGAACTTAACATATTAATTAGTAAATATTTCTTTTATAATCTTTAACTTGAATTTCTGTTTATTTTTGGGGGGGGTTGGGATTTGATTCTCAGTGGCAGGTTAATGTCCATCTTGCCTTATGTCGGTGCCTACCAGGGCGTGTTAAGACTACTTGTGCGCAATGCCACAATCGGAAAATTTTGAAGCTTTATGTCAACCTGTTGGGGGAATGTTTTACTTTTATAAATAATTAAAGTTTGAAGTAATTTTTTTAAAAAATTTTACCACAAAACTGTATAATTTAAAACTAATGCTTTTCAGGACTAATGTCTAAAAACTGAATGTTAATTTTCTTATTTAGTCTGCTTCTGTATTGTTTTCTTTATATTTTGTGGTGATTTAAAAAATACAAATTTAGAAATTTTTTTGTTCTGTTAAGGAGTAAAATGTTATGCTTGTAAGCTGCTTGTCTAATGGCTTATGCTTAATGCTTGTTACAATCAAGTGTTGTTTAGTGATGTTTTTTTAATTGAAATATAAATGTCATTTTTTTTATTTTTAAGAATAGCTAAAAAAAAAAAGTTAAAAATAACAGACTTTGTACCTTACTATTGCTCACTTGCTTAACACTGTTGAAGAGATTAGGCAGTTCTTTTCACTTCATATAAGCGTAAGTCATTTGAACAATTGCTCATTAATTTCTGAAAGTATTTGCCTACTTCTAATGTTGTTTCAGCAGCTGAGCGAACTTCTCCCTAAGGTCATTTTTATGTGTGTAAGAAACATTTGATCCAGTAGACAGTGTACATTTTTTTAAATAGCCTTTTGTGATGTAATAAAGTTAACTGAAACCCCTACATTGGAGAAATTTTGCTTAACCATGCCATTGTGTTCTCTAATACAAGTCCAAACTTTCAACCTATTGGGGCATTGTAAATGTTTTTTGCAAAATTTTTGTAATTTTAAAGAATACTGCATTAGTGTGAATGTTAAATGAAGCACAAATGTCTAAACTACATTCTGATATTGTTTTTTGAAAATTTCTTAAAAATAAACTTTTTAAGAATCGTTATCTTAAAAATGCTCCTCTTTCCCTCAATATATTTAACAATGATTGACAAAAAATATATATTTTCATCATTCTTATTAAAAATATTACTATACACAAAATAATATATTAAAAAATAATATATTAAAAAATAGTTAGTCTATAAATGTGTGGCAACAGTTTGTCTGTTCAATATTTGATTTTACTATCTGGTATACAACATTTTATTTTTAATTTGGTCCGAAATATCAGAATAAGAAATAAAGAATAAGTTTAACCTTTTTGTTTTTGTAACCTTCTTTTTAAAGTTTAAGATACACCCACATGGCTTTCTAAAAAATTTCATCTTTCTAAAATTTCAAATATTGCAAACTTATTTACTCAGGTTTGCAGTTATAGCCAAATTATCAACATATTTATATTTAAAAAAAAAAAAAATCTTTAGCTGTTTCTTTTAATAGACATACACTTTTAAATATGTTGTAAATGTTAAACATTTTTAGAAAAAATAATGAAAAGTTTGTTTATTATTAATAGGATGCTTAATTTAATTTCTTTTTAATTTTTTCAGAACTGTTGGCAACAATGGGAATGATGCCAGCTTCCCGAGTAAAGGTTTTGCAGCAGAAATTAGCACAGATTAGTCAGCTGTATGTTAACTCTGAAAAGTACTTTCCAATAGGTATGAAAAAATTTTAATAATTGTTATGCAAGCACTTTTGGGAAAATTAGATTGATACCCCTGATTCTGTTTATGCACCTTAGTAACATTAAGTATTTCAAAAATCATGAAGGGAATGCAAAAAGTCCTTTGGGATGCTTAATCCTAAAAGGCAAATAAATAAAATAAAAAAAAGGTCAAACAGATTTATGTAGACGTAATTATAAAACTTTATTTAGATGTATAAAAAGAAAATTCCTTGTTTCTATGAATAGCTGGAGGAGAAAATTAAAATGATTCTAAGGAGAGAACTAGAACTTTATTATTATTGCAGTGTGTGAAAAAAAGTAGGACAACATTAAATTGAATTAAAATATATTTAATTTTCATTTCATCTAAATGAAACTTTTAGTTTGACTTCTGTTACATAATTTTGTAATAACACTTTTAGCATATAAATAATAAAGTTTCGTTTCATAATATGGGTTTTACAAAAATTTACACTAGCGGGATATGGGGAAAAAAAGTGTAAGTACATGCTCTAAAATACTTAAAATTTTTGCCAATAACCAAGAAAACTACCCTTTTTTGAATCATTTGAATAAGCCGAGTAGTCATGGATCCTGAAAGATCTCTTAAATTGTCCACAGAAAATTTTCCCCAAGGGTCTTTGATAGTGGAGACTAGATCCTGTTTGGGTTGATATTTTGTGCCTTTTTTATAGACTTTTCAGGCTAGAAGTCCTGATGGGTTTTTGGTCGGATTAAGATCAGGACTCCTCACCGGCCAAGGCCAACCGATTAAAATTACAGAATTAGCTTTAAACTTCAGTTTTGTGCTCTTAGAATCGAATCGAAGCATTATCCTGTTGAAAAATATAGTCCCCTGAAATAATCACTGGCACTTCAGGTAACGAACATACTCTTAACGTATCAACATATTTGTCGGAATTAATTTTACTGTTAACAAAGACTATTGCAGGGGCTCCATATGCCACAAAAGCCTTCCAAACTATCATTGAGCCTCCACCATATTGACGTTTGAAAAACATTTACTCAGAAGTAATCAAAACCATCAGATCCATCAAGGTTGATTTTTTTTTCGTCAGAAAAATGTTCAGTCCATTTGTGAGCAAGTATGTATTTTTTGGCAAAGTTAATTCTTCTCTTATGTTGATTTGTTAGAAGTGGATGTGACACTAAATTTCCATTCAAAAAGATGAGAATATTTATTTGAAACATTTTAAACAGTCCTTGATGAACATGATAAATTCAAATTTTGTGTAACTTCATTTTCAGTTTCTTCTTTCTTTTTTTTTCTTCTTTTTTTAGCAAATTCCCCCTTTTTTAGCAAATTCCCCTTTTTTGTTGATGAGTACAAATTTCTGGTCTCCCAATTTGTTTTTTCACACCATACATTCTAGAATTTTTTAGGAAATTATGAACTTACTGTTTTAGATCTCTTGATTCTTTCTGAAATTTCCCATCCGCTTAATCCCCATTCTCGAAAAGCAGAACGAAATTCCTTTCACAAACCAATTTTTCAATCTTAAATTTCTATTTTCAAATATGCAAATTTTTCGAATATTAGCGAAGAAGAAACAATGTTCTTATACTTTATCATTTAGATTTAAAAATCAAAAAGTAAATTTCAACAGGTTTATATTTAGACATTTTAATTAGTTTAAACAAGAAATAATTTAATTTTACTTCTAAAATTTGCTCATAATTCTGTTAATAAGACTTCTAGAATTGGGGGTTTTTTGCATGTCCTTACTTTTTTTCGCTCACTGTATAAATGATTACTATGAATTAACTGAGGAAAAATAACATTTTTGCTTTTCTTTCACCTTGTGTTTGATTAGTCCTACCAAAAGCATTGTTAGCTCAATTAATGCTTTGATAAAATTGCCCTTGATAATACAAATAAGAAATTTTGTTTTGAAATTCTTTATTCTATGTCAACAAATAGCGTAATTATGAATGTGCCTTTTTTATAGATGTATTGATAAAAAGGTGGACAGTTCTTGTTTTAAATAGGATCCCTGAAAATTTAAAAGTCTTGGATACTAAAGACCGATAGTTTTTAAGGTCTAGTGGAATTTTTAGGTTGAAAAATTCTGTAATCTTTTGTCAGTGTGCTCAAAGCATTATTTAATCAATTAATTTTTTATGTATTGTCATATTTATTGAGTGTGACATTTTGTGAAATTTGAAATTCACTTGATTTTCATTACAGCTATTTGTACTTTAACATTTTTACTGTGATGTACATGTTAATGTTAAAAAATAAATCTAGTTATCATTAATAATAATCACATTATTATATAAGATGTGTCAACTAATGTATAAAAAGTGACTTTATTTAATAAAATTTATGATTGAATTGGGTATTCTGTATAAAGAGTTCAACTGTTGAATACAGTTACTAGTTGTAAGAATAGAAATGTATTTTTATCTACTCCTACTTGTCTTTAATTTGTAAAGCTCAAGATCAGAGGTTTTGCACATTGTACCTAATTTGATTTCTGTTTGGCAAAATGTGCCCCCTCAACTCATTCATGGATACCAGCTTGTCTGACAAATAAAAAATGCACAATGCTCATCACATTACTACCATCAGCCTTAATCTTCTTCACCCCTTGGCAAATAACTGGCTACTGCAAGAGTGCTTTACTTTACTTTTTCAGATTTCATTCATAAAAGTGAAATTTAGTAGATTAAGTACAGTAAAATAGATGAAGAGAATACGAAATGGTAATTTCTCTTTGAACATTTCATTCATAACATTAGTAAAGCTTGAACAAACATAGTATTAATTATAACATCAACAAACTTGAACACCGTTCGTTCTGAGACCAAGCTAGCTTGCGAGGAGGAAGAAAAGGTAAGTGTCAGTTTTTCACATAACGGAGAATATTTATCACATGGTTGCTTTTGCCTGAAAACTTAATTTGCCAAGTTATGGCAGTGAGAGTTGCAAGCTCTGTAAAGACTTCAGACCATGTAATGCTTATGAAACCATTGTTTTGTCAGTATTCACCTTCAAATTATGAATCGTAAATGTATTTTCTTTTTCAGAGTTCATCATAAAAGTCTTGGAATTGAAAACGTGTTGCTTAAATTTTGAAGTATCCTGGGTTTATGAGACTTTGCTCAATCTCGGATTGTCCATTGTTGATTTGTTGAAGATTTACCATGCTCTGTATGACTTCAAAGATTCTTGTTGGATGCAATGTGAAAATCCACTGCATCTACTTATGGTGTTAGCAAGCCTTATTGAACATTATGCTGATATGCCTTCAATTGTTTCACTGAATGAAAGGTAAGTTGTTGTTTTTTTTTTTTCCAATGCTATCTTATAATATATGTTTGCTTATAAATGGATACCATGAGAAAAGGACGAACCGAGTTTCTGAATAATTGTTTTGAAAAGGAACTAGATGGTATTTTTCTAAGTGAACTGTTGGAATCCGTGACTGATTTATATTCCTTGAAGTGTGGTTTACGTTGCGAAACTTTTAGAAATATGGAGAAGTGGTTTCACTCAAGTCTGATCTCATCATAGAAGAAAAAAACATCTTTGAGAGTTGAGGAGAGATTTAAAAGCAATTGTCTAGAACAATATTATATGGTTGCAAATAAAAGTAGTGGTGGTACTGCTGTTCTTAGCCTGCAAAATTAAATTTTGAAAGCTGAAACTCTATGGTGTTTGCATGTAGCTGAGAATATTATTTCTTTTACATCTTGTTCAGATACAGTCAATTTATTCAAAGTAATGTTTCCAGATTCTCCCATACTGTTGGCAATACAACTTAAAGAAGAAAAGAACATTGCTTATGTACCGAACCATGGTAGTTCAAAATATTTTGAGTCTTTCGATGAAGGATGTTGGTAATGCAACTAAAACATTAGCATTTGATGAAAGTTCTATTGTACAGAACAAGCGGCAACTAAATATATATTCCAGTTATTGGTCCAGTCAATTCAATTTAATAACATGATATCTGAAAAGTGTATTTCTAGGCCATGCTACAGCTGACATTGTTTTAAATGAACTTTTGGATGTTCTTATCTTCCTTTAAGATCCCATTGTATATAGTAATGTGTCGTTCAATGGATAATCCTAATGTTGACAAAAGTGTGATGAAGGTTTCTAATGAAATTTTTGCTTACTGCCAACTGGCAAGTGCAATTTGCATGTGTATAATAATATAATATTTGCATGCAAATAATGCATTTAAATTATTTCTGAATACATTAGTAATAAACTTTGATGAGTTTGCCAATGTTGTGTATTTTTTTTAAAGAACAGTGCTCTGCGTAGGGAAGTTTTTAAATATATGGAGAAAATAACATAAAAGTTTGCACGGTTTTTATTGAAACATGTAATGGTAGGTGGCTTACTGCCAGCCTTGTTGTTTAGCAGCTAATTTTTTAAAGGCTTAGGTTTTTGAAGTTTTTTAGTATGAACTTTTTTTTTCTTTGATTTATACTCATTTTTGTCTGTTCGAGGATTATGCACTTAATTTTAGATAGGGGATATGTAAAATTAAAACTGTTCATTTCTTACACTTTCAATATTTCATTCTTGACTTATTAGATTTCAAAGATTTCTTTTTACGACTCATAATCGCTTCTGATATGTATAGGTATAATCTTCTGTTGTGTAATGAACAATGCTGTAAACCGTTTTAATCCTAACCAAGTCTCATGTGTTACCCCTAAAATTAATTAAAAAAATTTTGAAAATTTAAAAAGATTTTTTTGTATTTTTGTGTTTGTATTTGTAAAAATTTTATTTTTTATAAAAACAAAATCTAATCCTATATTCAAGATTTTGATTTCTAATATAAACTAAATAACTTATGTTAGTGGATCCAGTATGTTGCTTTTGGTAAGTTACCTAACAGTATTTATTTATTTTTTAGGAGATCTTTCACAACATTCTGCTTGGATGTGATGTCAGGGTATCTTGTTGATCTTCAAGCTATGGATTCTACCATACCAAATGTCACTAATCTCATTTCCAATTTCAAATCTGTTCAACGTAAGCTAGAAAGATTGCCCTGATGTTAGAGAAAAATAGCTGATTAATATAATTTTTAATATAAAAATTTTTTAGCCCTTTTCTACAGACTTTTGTACAAACCTTAACTTGAACTTTCAAGAAGAGAAAAGTTAGCATGCATGTAAATTGAATGGAAGGAACAGCTGCTATTTTCTGTGTGATCATTCATCAATTAATGAAAAAAAAATATTGTGCTATATTGTTTATTTTCTTATTTGTTTGTAATTATTAATTATGGGGAAAAAAGACCATTGGTGCACTTATCAACTCATTCTTTTCATGTTAGTTATGTCTTTTATGAAATTTCAAATTAAAATTCATTAATTCATGTGTATCTTTTTAATTCATTTTGTGGAGTAGTAAAAACATTTTGCAAAATTATGTATATCTTTTATATCTTCTAAAAAAATGTGTAATCTTTTTCATTGTGATGAATTTTTGTTCAGAATTTGATTAAAAATTGAATGAAGTATTTTGTCTAAAATATACTTTGCATGATCTTTAATGTTTTTTTCTCAATTTATTTTCCTGAAATAAGTTTCATGGTGCGTAGCATTTTTAAAAAGTGCTTAAAGGTGCTTATTTTTTATTTCTGTTTTTAAAAACCCTTAAAGGTGGTTCTTTCATTGGAGGCTTTTAAAAAGTACTTAATATTCCTTTTTCGAAAATTAGATTTTTTTCTTTACCTTGTCGATTTTCGCTACGTATTGTGCAAAAGCGTGGTTTTCACAATTCATTCGACCACAATCCATTTCGGCGCACCGTCGGTTCAATCATTTGACATGTTTGATTAAATATTTGCATGTGCGTCTATTGAGTTGGGTTTGGTGAGATCCTAGCACTCTCATGTGCAACTGTGCTGCATTTTGCAAGATAATCTTAAATTCAGGCTTTATTTTCCACCCTCTGAAATCCAACCTAAAAATGTTTCTATCTTTTTATGAAAAGAATTCTTTGCCAGAAATTAGTTATTTTATCATGATCATGTAATGTCTTTGAAAATTATTTTGCATTTTGTAAATGTATATAGTGCTTAAAAATATTTTTGAGCACTATAGCTTAAAAAGTACTTAAAGGGTGCTTATTTTTGGTTGAAAGATTTGGCTGCGCACCCCGAGTTCACTTTCTTGAAAAGATAATCAAATATTACATAATATTTGGATCTAATATTTGCTGCCAAGTATGGAAAGTATTAGTAATTCTTAAGGGTATTCCTCTAAAACTATCACAAGACTTCAGAATTTATTTTTATAACTGCTGTATGTCTGTGAGAGCTAATAATGATCATTTCGTCCCTGTATAGTTAGCATACTTTGTTTGCTGTTTGAAAATTGTGCATAATGTTATATTTAGGAAAGCCACAGTTTTATGATAATTTTATTTGTTAGTATTTGATTAGTTATTTCAATGCTGCATTACTAGTACTCATGAAAAAAATTTGTAAAAATCAAAATTATTTGTTGATTTTATTAATTTTTATTTAGGGAGCCAAATTTGCAATTTTTTAAAAACTTAATAATTTTCTTTTAAATATTCAAACGGTGTATCCCTTTAAGAGCCCAGTCAGTTGTTTTGGTAAAGATAGTATACATAGTTTAAAATTAAAGTATTGCCTATAGTTTAAGGCTTTCAAACTGTGGTGGTTATTATTCTTAGCAGGAACACCTTTAAGTAAGGCACTGAATTCTATTTACAGGGAAGAAATATCCTTTATGAATTCAAAAGTTAAGTTTCTAAAAGAAATATGTTTTTTGAAAGAAATACTTTTGTAAGCATAGAGGAGTGTGGATATTGATTTACTTATTTTTGTTGACAAGAGAGGATAGGTATAAAACCATTAAAAACGTGCCTGCAGTAAAATTGATAGTACAACTTCATTTTTAGAAGGCATGTTCAATGCAACACTAATACGGATTATAAAGCTTTTTCTTTTCTTTTTATAATCCATCACACTAAAACCTCAAATACCAAGCCTCTCTTATATTCTCATAAATTATACGTCATTTATTGTTTCTTTGTTACAGATAACATCTTTTTATCCATTTATTTACCAAATTATTTAAAAATTACCAAAAACATATAAGATGTTTCAGCCCTATTAAAAAATGTCTCTTAAACATTTAAACAAATATTTTCTTTATTCAATATTTTCTAATTTTTTCATGAAAAGACGGGACTCTAAATAACAGTCAGAATTTGATACTTGGCTATAGTTTGTCTATAAAAAATCTTAAGGCCGTCTGCTGCTATGGAAACAAGAAATAGTGCATTTCAAAGAGAGGAGCTTCTTTCTCCCCTGATCCCCTTTCTCTCGCCGACCAGAATCAAAACCTGACTTAAATAATGACCTGACACCCCTACTTGAAACTAGTTAATCCTTGTAATCATAGTCACCTCCACCACTCCACATGAATGGCTTGGAGAGTTCTTTACATGGACAAACTACAATGATACTTCGAGAGCAGAAATGATGTCATAAAAACATGAATAACAAAATACTTGTGCATATATTTTTTTTTATTTCATAAGAATAATTAGAGATATTAAAATGTAAACCACATTCATAATGAAATTAATAGTTACAATATTTTCATATTTGTAAGTTTTTTCTAAGTATTCAGGTGTGTCATGATCTACAATTTTAATTTCTCCATTTGTCAAGCCTTATCTTGGGTACTCATCTGTAAAATAAATAAACTAATGAGCTTACGTAGATAAGAATATAACTTAGTAAAGAAAGCAAATCATGCATAAATATTTTAATAAATTTTCAAAACCACATAAAATAACGCAATTTAAGAAATAGTCATCGCCTGAATATAAAACCTATTAGGACTTTAAAAGTTCCGAGAAAAGATCAACACATTATAAAATTTTAATACACATATAAAATCAAAAATTAAAACTTAGGTTTATAACTAGTTGAAAATGTGAAATAATAAAAAATTATGAAAGACTTTCTTGCAAAATTGAATAAGGCCTTTTGCGTATCTCGCCATCTAATGTTGTCCTTAATAAAAGTCCTGGCCTGTTTCCATGCAGAAATCCCTAAGTTCCTTTTCCAACTTAATATCATACTTGTAATATAAGCTTTGAGTCTTCCTCTTGTTCTTTTCTCTTTTGGGGACTACAAGGGAGACACAGATATTTTTTTCTCTGGCGTTCTAAGTACGTGATTCAACTAGTTCCTTATTTGAGTAAGATTGCCCTCATCTGCTGTTTTCATTTTGACTTTTTTCAAAAGTTTTTCGTTTGTTATCTAGTATGGCCAGAAAATTTTAAAAATAAATCTCAAACATTTGTTCTGAAAGTTTTTTAATTTTTGTTTTTCCATTTGTATCGATCATTCTATATCTCTGAACCATAAAGTAAAACTGCCGCCTCTTAAACTACTAATTTTGCTTTTATTTCAATATTTGGTTCCCACCCCAAAATAATTTATGCAGTCCGTTCGATTTGTAACCATTAGTATAGTTAAAGAATGGAAAATAATTAGTGGGAAAAAGATTATTTTACTTTTGGAATTATCTTTAGATGAGCAAGTTTAACAATTGAGTGCAAATTTTTCGTTAATTCACTTCTTTAGTGCCGGAGTTATGGCAAATTAACATGAAGGGGCTTAAACCTCTAACCTCTCTTCTGGCTAAACTATTCGAACCGTACTTTTTCAGATTGCGGCTACCCCCTGCATATTTTCAGAATCAAAAAAGTAAGTTCTTTTTTTCTGATTTAATTTAACAACGTCAGTTCTAATTATTTTCTATCTTAATATTTGGGTCCTTGAACAGTAAGGATTGAGTTTTAGTATGTAAAAATTTGTTATTACTTTTTTTTAAATGCCATTTGTTTGACAGCTAGGCCATTAGACCACAGGCACTTAGTTCAAGACACCAGGCCATTAGTACAAGTCATTCGTCCAAATTCGAAGCAGTCATACAAAGAGAACATGTTATGAATTTTTGCCTGCTCGACGGAGCGGTGTAATCATTCATGAAAATTATGTGGCAGGCAATCTTTCTGGGAAGACTAACACAGAGATACCAACTTGCTCCGGGCAGCAAATATATATTTTAAAGTGGTAGTTTATCAATTGCGATTCTTGGTTTAATAAATTCAATTTAGTATATTTTTATCCACTACTATTTCTAAATAATTCGTAGGCTTATATAATTCACCACTTAGTATTTATGTCATGCTATACCTTTTAAAAAGTCAGCAAAAATAGTCAAATATTTGGATTGCCTGCTATTTAATATTTACCGTTTTTTTTTAATAATTATTTTGGCGTTTCCGGAGCAGTTTTTATCTCTGCTAGCAATGTGTTATAATTATCACATCATCATATTTGTTCAATTTGTTGTTTATATTTAATAAAATTAATTGTATTAAATGTCGGCCATTTTTATTCATTGTACTATTTTACTCAATCACTAAGGTAAAAAAGTAAAATGTTAAATATTAAACAATGTCTTAACGAAACAGATGGACGCGATCGCGCACCATCAAAAGTGTGCGAAAGTTGTAGCACATGGGTAAAATGCTAAAGAGTAAACAATGTTTAGGCGAAACAGATATTCTCGATCGGGCCCCATGATGAGTCTTAAAACTCGGCGAAAGCTGTAATACATTTAGAATATAAGTAAAATGTTAAAGAGTGAACAATGTTTAAACGAAACAGACGGACAAAATCAGCGAGTCTTATAAGTCGGCAAAAACTGTTACACATTTAGCGTTGTAGAAAAAAAGTATTGACGTGTTTAATTAATCAAATTTATCAAAAATCAGTAAGGCTTTTTTTGTTTGTTTTGCTTTACGCCCTGTAAAATCAGGAAATCTTGAATTCCATTTCAGGACATTCATTCTCCTAAATGAGACTTAAATTGCGCTATATACATATGATGATACTAACCAAGAATCAACATCATAAAATCTATAATTTGGATACAACTTGAAGTATGAAAATAAAATATACCTCGATATGCGGGGGGAAAAATGGCAATTGTGCTTTATACATGGAGTCTTGATAATTCGCAAATGGAAACAGACAAACACTGCTGTTCAAATAATAAAGCTTTCAACTCTCATTGGGAGATAAAAAACGATGTAATTAAGTGTTGAGTTTACAAATCGTTATCTTAAAACTCATCAGCGTTTCCAGACTAATTTAATAATGAACGTTTACAAACACAAATGTGTGTTTATCAAAGTGTATATATTTAGAAGAGGGAAAAACAAAGTATTTCATTCCGATCTTTGCTGGAGAAGTTTATTACCCACTACATATTAATAGTAAAAGATGTTTTTATTTGAGAAAAAATGTGAGTTAATGGCGGTAGAAATAAAAGCTTCCAAATAGCGTTTTTTTTATTCCTTAAAAAAAATATATATATATATTAAATATATATGTATATATATATATATATATAGAAGAAAAGATGTAAATATGGGCACCCTCTTTTGTTTTTTTGATAAAGTTACTTTCAATTTG